ATACCCATAGTAAACGCGAGTACCATTAATATACTCTGACGTCATCGTAAAGAAATGCATCAGTTCTTTGCGGCGTTATTCTTGCGAAATAGTCGCTCATAGCGAGTTTGCTTGATTTTCGATAAAATTCGTTTCGCTTTTCTAGCGAATCTCGTGTCGTTCTATATTTAACCAGGTCCCGAAGCATTTCGAACAACCGCGAAAATTCATTTTAAAAGAGTCTCCGGAAATAAACCGCACGTGTCAAAAATCAACATCCAAATCGAATACGATTTTCTGTTTATTTGACGACAATAATGTGATACGAGCGTTTCTTACTCAATTAACAAGATTTTAGATGGCTGTTAGTTCTCTAGCGGCTTTCAGGTAACCACTGTAACTTTATATGAGGTTTTACGCTCGATACGATAATGATCGACTTTGAAGTAAATCGATCGCGATACCATGTAAACGCTCACCTTACCTCCCCTAGCTGGATTAAAAAGAGAAATGAGAACCGCGTAGGAGAGGTGAGGTCTTACGCAACCGGGTATTCTTTAAAAAGTATCAACTCATTTGCATTAGAAGAAAATGTATTTACGGCGGTACATTATCGATCATGAACATCGTTATCGGACATACGAACGCCAATTACATATTGATAATACTTTCCGATGACACAAATTCGAAGGTACAACGAGACGAAACACCACTTTGCAAGCGGGTTGCATCTTGGTCGTGCGTACGCACTGACACCATCCTATTGGACCTTTCTCGATGACGTCAGTAGGGCTGACCAATAGTATTGAATACCACGGAGCAGGATCAGCAACCCAGGCAAATCCAGAAACATATTTCGATCCTTTACCAAGCATGCTTATAAAACGAGAGACCAATGGGAAAGTGTTTACACGGTTCTGACCCAGTTTTGTATTATATCCATTCGAATAACTCAACTTTATATCGAAAACAAATATCTGTCCCGACTTTAAAGAAACATGTAATCAGTGATCTTTTTCTTTGCGTCGACGAAAGGAATACTTCAAAAATTGATCTGATTTCTGTCGAAGGAATTCCGACAGCAGAAATTTATAATTTAATTTGTGGAGATTGCGTAGATTAATTTTGCACCGCAGAAGAAATATGGTAATATAGTAGTGCGTATATGTATGTAGAAATGCTTTTTCATGCGAATATTTAAAATGTCATAACTCCTAAACGAATTGGACGATTTTAATATTTCAAACGGCAAACAACGCGTATTTTAGTGTAGAATATGTAGATATTTCAAGAATATTCGAAAAGTTGTTCCTTGACCCCGTAAAGTGAGAAACACCCCCTATAAATGATCTAACTTTCAAACGACCATAACTCCTAGAATACTGAATATATTTCAATGAAATTTTTTTCTGAAGAAGAGCTCATGGATACCTACAAAAAAGTATTAGACAAAATTTCCGTACAGCGCCAAACAAATTTTTAAGAAAAATCGACAGGGGGTAGGTGTCTAAAAAAAAAAATTTCGAATCGTTCTAAAAAAATTATTTCTAGGTTCTGGGGTCAAATACAACCATTTTTGGTGAATAGACATACCCTCGAAATTCTGCACATTTTCGAGAAAAAAATTCAGTGCGGGCGGAACTTTAGACGTTAATAACTTCTTAACGAAGCCTCCATTAACAAATTGGTATTCTTGATTTTCGGTTTATTTTGGCCTCTAGAATCTTCCATTAAAATTTTTCCCAGATGTGGCCGAACACCCTGTATATACACATATATACACACCATTGTACCATATTTTATAACAAAATTCGAAACTACAGGTTCTTTATTTTGAAAAAAATGACAAGTCTTCCGATCATTTCCTTCTATAGTTCCCCCATAAATGGACTGTATATGTCGCGCGTGCCCGTCACTCCGCGCGCGCGACTTCCCTTGCGGTCGATACGATTTCACCTCGTTGCCGGCAAATGCTACCAACCAGAGGCGTCCCATCAGTCAAATTTCAATCCAACACGAATTTTTAAAGCAAAGATTCACGACTCTTGTCGCGTCACTACTCTTTCTTACAACGATACAATATAAAAAGAAATAGCAACTAACGGGATAAAATAGATTCTTGAACCAGGTGCATATTGTATTTTTAAATTAGGCAGATTAAAATAAACTTGGTTTCCTTTTATCGTTCGCATTTATTCGATTAAAAATATTTTGTTTTTAATCTCATTTTTTGAAAAGTAAAGCGAAAGTAATTTTTATAGAATACGGTACCCGAACCTTGACTTAAAAACGTGATATTACGTATATTGGATCGAAAAATTAATTTTCGTACAGTAAAAATTGTACGAGATAATAGTAATTGATTGATATTTGTAAAGACAAGAAATTCGTTGGCGACGCCTCTGGTCGCTACCAACCACCCACAAGCACCATATCTGTACCCGTACCCTACTACAAGCACCAGATTTGACTTTACAACAAGCACTTCGTGTGACTTTACATGGAAGTGGCCTGATCTGGCACACAGAAACTACTGGACTTATAATGAGAGATTTATAGATATTTGAAAATCTACAAGCATTTACAAAGTAAATAAAATCAAGTCTGAAATAATCTAAAATTTCATATTTTTCTTAATACCGTACAGAAAGGCAACCCTTGTATTTCTATAAATTCTATTACCATATGTATCTATATACCTATGTTATTGCATATGAAATGTTTAAGTATTGAGAAGATTGTCTGAATAGTAATTCGATGACAAATTAGCTTCATTTTTCGTTACTGTGCAAATTGAACAAAGTAGTTAATAATTGATTTGTGCGTATGCACGTGACACAGCGAACTAATGTAGATCGACAATTTCGATCTAAGAGCATGGTGCTCAATCGACAAATGCTCAATAATTAATTCCCTATTTATCGTTCATTCCTGCAATATTATCGGCTTTGTCAAACGTAATTAATAATTCGATTTCTCGTCGATTTCCCTTTAAATATATCCCAATGATCTGACATAACGAGTTTATTTTCTTACTAAGATCAAATTTCGACGAGAAGCGCAAAAAAACATTGGAAATTTTTGGGCATCCAAAATCTATGTTTTTTAAAATTGATATTTTATAGACTAAAATGTTATTTATTTTAATCTCAAATAAAATTTGCCTAGATTTGAAATGAAGTACCAGAGCGCCAACCGTAAATCACTGAAATTTCCAGAGTTAAGATTAGTAAAAATAATAAATAGTCGAGTACCGAGGCTAAGAATGCGGGAAACGAGCGTATTCGCGGAGAATCGATAAATTTGGAATCCTCAGGATGCAGCAAGCTGTTCGACGAAGGTACAAGACATGTAGAAGAGAATTTAGCATGACAGGAAAGAGGAACGCAAGGAGGTTTCGAAGAAGTGGAGGGGGAGGGGGGCAAGAGAAAATAGGAGAGACACGAACAGGATTGGAAGGGATCGAGAAAGAATCAAGAAAAAGGAGAACGAGGGGAATCGACGAAAGTAAATGGAGGGAGGGAAGACATAGAGAGAAAGAGGCGGCAATATGGCCGTTCGAGAAACAGACCAGCGCCGCCTGGCAGATTTTCCTATTCCCGCCCATCAAATAATTTTCAACATACTAAATTTCTTCCAATAGGTTAAAGACGTTAATTCACTGTCAAACTATACGTTGAGCTTTCTGTCTCTATGAATGCTTGCTACTGCAAACCTGCAGGGTACTTTCAAAACAAAGTAAAATATGAATCTACAATGACATATCTACGTAACATCCCATAGCAATATGTTGAAAATAAACATTAAGTTCCTAGGTATATAAAATTTTAAAACAGTGTAAACAGTACTTTTTATCGACATACCAAATAGAAAATACGATATTATCACTCTGACCTCGTTAACATAACTTATACGTTAGACAGAATGTTTCTAAACGCACCAATTCTTGTCTTATTATTTATTCATCAAGGACACTGTCATAATTTCTTAGAGAAGCCTTGAAAATTTCTTCGTCTTATTGCTTATTACTGCTATTTTAGTTTCTATCGATACATTTTACATGTTATGAATGGTTGACGTATCTTAACAATTTGCACTAATTATAGAGATATTGTTTGACCAGAACAAACAGTGAAATAAATATTAATCTCTGAATGTCATAAAATGTACAAAGTAAAATGGTAATAGGTTGCAACCACATCTTATAATCTATGTTAATTACATCTCCTATTGAGAATAATGAGATACAATATGTCACAGGAAGAATGATTCATACTTGAACATTGAGTATATACACATGAATAAAACCGAAAGTAACTTTTGTAGTAAAAATACATTAATAAAAAAACTGACAGTCCTACTTTTCAATCAACATGTATCAAAATAAGTATTAACATGAGATTCACTAACAAGTACAGTAGAATTGAAAGCAATTGTTGCAAAGTAAAAGAAAAGAAACATTTAAACATTGTATAGAAGTTAGTAACTACGTAAGTTTTACGTCTAAAGTTGTATGTGTACGATGTGGTTGACCTGTAGTCACTCGCCATTTTACCAGCCATTGTTGCCACCGTTCAGAAACGAAAATGCAACCAACAGATCTATTGTATCTTTCAAACGTTCGTTGCCTGTTGCAAAAAGACAACAACAACAACAAAACGCTGAAAATTGAAATCAATTCAAGATGTCGAGAAATCAAACTCTTTCAGAATGGTCGAGAACAAAAATTTTTTTTTGGTTAAGTGAAATATGGTACGAAGTCGTATTACACGACGAATGTCGATGAAATTACGAAAAATGCCCTGTTGACACGATTGTTTCGCGTTTCTGATGACCGTTTGTCAAAAAAATACAGTATACAAGACCATTGGAACGTCACAAACGATTCATAATACGAACAGAATGTATCATTACAGCTGTCTTTCCCGTGACAGTTCGATCAAATTTTCATCGTTCGATGATATAATCATGATTTCTCGACCGTTTAATGCAACCAAAACCTATAAAAATTCATTGCTTACCTTAATATGACAGGAATACAGAGGCTCACTTTAAACTTGGATGTAAACACAAGCATTTTTCAACGGAACTGACACCAGGGCAGCTTGAATAACAAACGAGAAAACACTCTTTACATCGCGGACAACGTTATTTTACTGTTCGAGATTTTATTACGTTATTAAATACCACAATAAATATGAGAATTCGCGATCCCTTCGGAAAACATCCATCGAAAACTAAAGATGGCAGCCATTCTTCTGTACAAAACAAAGGTTCACATCCACGGACTGGCAAGCGATGAAGCCTCGAACCCAGATGGCTTCCGGCGCTGTCGTCGACCCGCCATTTTTGATTACTCAAAAACGTACCCACTCTATTAAAGATAATATACAATTAGGATTCAGTTTTCGATATGTATTTACATTACCTGACACCTCCAAAATAGTTCTTCTGATTTTCATTTTTGTAAAATGACAGAATATTAATTTTACGTGTAATAATTCAACGACACATTAACTTTAAATATCGCCGATAGCTGACGCGCAAATCGAATCACTGTAGCGACCTCTTTGATAAATTACAAACAAACCACTAGAGGGCTAAGAATCAAAAGATTGGTTGTTGTTTCCCGCAAGTTATCCAACAACGGTCGATTCTCAAAGAAGTAAAAGGAATTTGTGTTTCGTTTGAATTTGCTGTTGGACTTATTATTAAGACATATTTCTAGCAAACCCTGCTTTGGACGTGACATTAGTGAATAATTCTGATTTTCATGTAATACATACGAAACAAATACTTTATGTTCCTCTTTCTCGTTTGACTTGAAAAAAATGTAGAAAGATAAAAATTGATTTTGTGTTAATATACGGAATTATATTTCCCCATTAATTAATCGAATTTCATTTATTTTGATCGAGTATTGTTCACTGTCAATTTCATATTTGATAGCTTGATCGAAGTTGACTGACATTAAATAATTGTCGAGATTAACGTCATCAAGAAGGTTGGTAGCATTTGTCACGCTCGTATGGTATAAAAGTTCTACGATCGCTGTTGCTTAGGTTATTGATTTTTAATTGTATGACATATGTTTTGAAAAAACAAAAATATTTCGAACCGTATTGTATGATGGCTGTTGAGCGACAGTTATATCAGTTCTAAAATTAAAACATTCAACATTCAAAGGCTTGAACTATATCATGTTAACTATGAGTAAACATTGCCATACAGAAGACCTGTTTGGCTGCGTTGTAAAAAAAAAAGCAAAAGAGAGAGAGTGAGAGAGAAGCGGAGACTGATTTCCTTGTACATAATGACGTATACAAAATATACATTTTATATTACGCGATATTTAATGCGCTATCAATATAAAAATGTTAAATAATTTCTATTAAGAATTCTTTTAAAACAATAGTTGTTGATGTTTAGAGTATTACATTTTGTATTAACTTTTTGATTCTTTTCTACCAATAAAATGATCTTTTATGTTTAGAAATGGCAGACACTGATTCACAATTAAAACGACTTCTACTTCCAACAGAAGAAACATTGTTTGAACAGTTATTACGGTTTGGACTTTATATTGGAGCAGTATTTCAAGTTATATGTTTATTGGCTATAGTGATTTATCAGGCTGGTCCATCTGATGGTATTGCTGCATTAAAGGTACTTAAACAAGCAACTATTACAAGTATTTATGACTTACGGATATTGTGAATTAATTGAAGGATGATCCAAGCGATGTGGAATGCTCAGAAAACAGTCCTCAAGTTACTCCTAGGAGACCTCATCGACCACGAAAACAGGAAAAGAAAAAAAGACGTTGAATTGTGTTTTGTTGCTGTCAAAAAATATGCATTGTCTGCCTGAAATATTATTTTTAATTAGCACTATTTATGAAATTTCTTCTATGTGAAATTTTTTGTAATAATTTAATTGATATTTTTTAATTTAATAAGTAATTTATATAGTATATATTTAATTTAAATTTTTTATACCAATATTTTATCTTGTAAAACCAATTAAGATATCAATCAACATGACTGCATTTATAATATTGTACGAGTATACAAGGAATGATTTTAATAATACAAATCTCAATTAAAACTTATCATTGATTATGTAAAATTATTTTGATGAAAAACCATCGTAAATGGATAATTAATATTATGCACTTGAAATATCGGGAAATTTTAATTTTTCGTAACACATATAATAGTGGATTAAAACAAATTTAGTTTCAATAACATATTTATATTTTATTTATGCCTACTTCGATTCAAATTCGTATCACGTAAGTAGCAGTTGATACTTGAAAATTTCCGTAACGAATAGATTTTTTAAATCGACCGATACATCAAAATTACACAACGATCTATAGAAGGTAAGAAAGTGGTGTTTGTTAGTATTGGACAAAAATAAATACATAGCACTTTCACGGTGAATGTACTTTTTATTCATTTCTTAAAGTTCCATGTTTCTCCAACATAAAGTAGTACTAACAATACTACACAGTCCCAATGAAACCGATAACTACTGTACTATATCAAAGTTGGAGCGACATAATGTAGATTCTCGGTCACATTTAACCTCAAAGAGCTGACAAATGATGTGGTTGAAATATCTAAAATAGTATGCCATTTTTCAATTAGTTTCGAGGAAAAATAAAAATGTTGCATTCAACGGGTGAATTATCACCACAAGATATTTTGTCAGAAGTTAGGAAATTCATTTCCGGAGCTATTAGACCATCCCATAGTACAAGTACCCTCGATGTAACTCGAACTGCTTTATCGTTGCTTCGTAATGTACCTGCAGCAAGAGATGCGGTACTTGAGTACTTTTGCAACGTCTTTTTTGTCGCTGTTACAAAATATGTTCGTCAAATCGAAGTAAGTTCAATGTAACATGGTTTATCAACAAACCATGTACATAACTGTCTTTGATCATTCATAAACAAAATTTTCACAGACAAATCAAAATTCGGTAATTTGTGAGGAGAGCATCATAGCAGAAATCCATGCTGTTTTAAGTAGTTTTATTAATGGAAATCCAGAGGCATGGGCACCAATCATTTCAGCATGGTCATTGGAATTACTAGGTATAGAATCATCGAAGCATTTTAAATTGGTTCTATTTTGTATCCAAAATATCTGTTAGTTACAGTTTATTTCAAAATATTGTATTGCAGGTAAATTGTCTTCTGATTACGCAAAGCGTGGAAACTTGCCTGTCAATGCTGGGATTAATGATTTTCTTCAACAATGGATGTCTTGCCGTGCTACTCGTACATTAATCGACATTACTGCTCAATGCCTTCAATGTCTTATGCATTCTGATACAGAATCTTGTATTAAAGCATTATTGGATACCAGTGTATTGCATAGTCCTCACTTTGACTGGGTGGTTGCTCATGTAGGAAGCTGTTTTCCAAACACAGTTATTACCAGAGTACTGTCTTGTGGTTTAAAAGACTTCTGTGCCATGGGCTATGAACATAATGTCAAAAATCCTAAATTGAATTCAGTTGTTGGAATTCTGGGTCACTTGGCCAGTAGTCATTTTCAGGATATAAGAACAGCATTACTGGATCTGTTCAAAGTAAATTTGAATCCTGTTAAACTACTTTATACTAACTGAAATCCTGACAAATCATGTGTTTAATAATAATATTTTTAGTGGAGTTTGGATGAAGATATGAGCGTTGACGAGGATACAAAAAAGCAGAAATTAGCTACTGTTCCGTTTCTCCTAAATCTGGCATCTCTTTCGCAAACTCTTTTAAAAGCAATAACCAGCGATGTGTTACAAACGTGTAAGTAAACGCGTTTCGTGTCTTTGTAATAAATTATGACCTCCACTCCTTATTGCAGTGAAACCGGATATAATTCCACAATTGGCTCTGTTTGCATCAGACTGGTGTAAATACTTTGACAAGCAGCCAGAAGCTTTGATAGACTTGACTGTGCACTTAATCTTAGGATGCGAACAAGGGGCGTCGCAAATAATAAACATTTTATTGGACACTGCTTTAAACACAAGCAATGTTGGTTACCATAGCGTTAACGCAGCACAAAGTGTGAAAAGCGTTTGCAGCGAGATATTGGAATTGGTGTTGGAAGAAATCGATCTCCTGTTAAGGACACACGGGCCGCAGTCGGCAAACATTGCTTTATTGGGCTCTATCAAGCAAGAATTGCCTGTAATATTGCCATTACTTCTAAATCAAAATCCTCTAAGAGTTCAAACAGCCGTCAGGCTGCTGTGTTTTCTTGGAAGCCAAAGCGCTAACATATTAATATCTGCAGCTTCGTACATGTTGGTTAAAGCGGTAACGACTTTTCATCTTGCTGCTTTGATACATCTTGTTTCAAACAATGTTGTAGTCTTCCCCTCGAATAAATCTGAAACAGAAAATATGTTAGCTAGTCACGGCTACTTTACCCAAGTAGTCGAACAAGCACTCAGGGAAATAAATTATAAAAATGTTATGGAGAAACAAGAAAGGAGACAGTTCTTTCAGAATCTTACCATACTATTAAAGTAAGCGTGTTAATGAAACGGTATCATCAAATCTTTTATAGATTTAAATAATTTGTTTATAATATTTTATATAGATGGGAGAAATCCGATAAAGCAACGATCTTCCGGTCAAAGATGATCACACATGCTATCAAGTCTAATTTATATCAGATCTCTTCCTTACTAACAAAGACAAATGATTTTGAACTAGCTAACGACATTGCTAAAATTTTGGACTTGTTCAGTACTCCGGAGAAAGACAATTTTTTACCTAACGTGGAGCTTACTCTGAAATTAACAAGAGCTGTGATTCAGTATTTCTTTTTATGCATAGCGGAAGATGGTAATTTAAGAATGTTTTATTGAAACTTTCTACTATAGCCTTTAATATTTATTATTATTTCTTTTTATTTAGATATTACGAAAAAGCAGCAAGGTGTGAAAGTAGTGTGCCACTTACTGAAAGATTTGACCTGTTATTCACCGTGTGCTCGAGCTCTAGCACTGAGAGAAATTTTGGGACACAGTATCAACAACGATCCTGCTAAATATTTTGGAGCTAAAGAAAAGTTTGAACCAAAATTCGAGGAAATGTTACTTTTACACCAGAATCACAAACAGGTAGAACGATTAGAGACGTTGTATAGAAAAATGTTGATCATGAATTACGCAAATTTTTAATTTTCTATTAAGGTCACAAGCACAATGTTAGCTCAAAAACATTCTTCTGTATTTCACGCTGGAGTGATTGGTCACGGGCCACGACAAATACCACCTGAAAACACAGTTGACAAAGAGATTATCGCACTAAATAAAATTTTATTAATAGACGTGATAAAGGTAATAATCTCAAAAGTATACTTAACTCTTCACAATTTGTTCAACGTCCGAATGTTGTAGGCTTGCTGCAGTAATAGAGAATCGGAACGATATCCTGTAAATCTCGATGCGTTGACGATAGTTAGTTTACTGTTGGTTGAGATAGTTTCGCCCGATGTTATGTACAATGGACTACCATGGCCTGATGAAGAATTTACCAAAGTATATTCATCAACTTTTAAATACCGCGAGGTAATATTAATGCTTAACAATTTGGTAAAATATTTGTATTACTTCTAGGTCACCATAGAAAGAGATTTACAAATCCGTCGAACATTTAGAGATGTCCCATTGTTATGGACATTGTTGGAATTAACAGCTTGGTACAGGCCAGCTTTAGCTTATTGTTCAGTTTTATTGAGAGGCATTGCTGCCACTGTTATGGCTAACTGGAATACAGAAGCAGGTGTCTCGTTGGTAAGCGTCATGGCACTCGGTCAATTGCTACCGCCACCATTGGCGAGTACAAGGGATATTTTGCCCGTTTTGGAGTCACATCAGGTGTGTATCCTACAATTACATTATGACTTATTTACTAAAAATTTGGAATTGTTATAAAATGATAACATTTTTTATTTCAGATAAATACTATAATGAAGGAGTGTGTATGGGCTTATATGCGTGAAAATATCCCCTCGCCAGCCCTTTTCACACGTAGCGATGGAGTCAATATAGCTTGGAGAGATACAGACACATCTACGCCAAACGCGCGATTCACGGAAACACTTCGTTTAGTTCTGTTAGCTAATATTCATACATTAGGCCCACTTTATGCTACCCTATTTTACAATGAAAACAAATAATTCATCTATCCGCCAACCGCGAATTATTTTCATATATACATATACATGTTCCTGTAAATAAATTTCTCAATAATTATCAAATATGTATAATATTAAAAGAAATGTCGAAAATAAAATTTAACAACTGCTTTTAAATTTTTCAATACCAACTTATAAGTTAGTATTGAGTTACATCCCCCGTCTTCAATATTTATTAAATAACTTAAAAGTTTATAAACTTTTGAAAATTTATCTATTTTAAATTTAAATATCGAGTTTTATATTCACTGTTTTGGAATAGCACAACGATAAATATAGTTTGGAGATAGTTTTTAATAACAACTCTAAGTACAAAATAAAAGTTACCATTCGTGTTGTATAAAATAAGAAATAAAACTTTTACTAATATTCGGACGTATATAAGTAATATACAGTTTATAATACGTTATACAAATATAATGCAATTATAACTTATTTTTCCTCCTTTTCGTGGATCTATCAATCAGTTATTCTCGTGTTACAATTTAATTTGGATGACACCTGTTGCTCCAGATTTCGCACATAAGCACCTGTTTCGGAGCGCGTAAATTACATAAAAACCGCAGAGTAGTCGTCAATCGATGCGCATTATTGTAATTACGTTGTTCTTTATTAAATGTATGCTCCAAATTCATAAAAATTGTAACACTTGTATATGCTGCTTAAAAAACATAGGAACAGGAGGGAAGAGAAGACAGAAACGATAAATTTCAATTTTTATAAAAGCACGATCTCCTAAATACACAAGAGAAAACAAATATAATCAATATAGGAATGATGCTATCTATGATGAGTGAACACTGTTCGAGTTAATTGTTGCACGATTACCCAAGGCGGGTGTCTCGTTCCAACAGAATAAATGATAACCTATTATGCAAAATGGTTTGATTCGTATGAATGTCTTTAACGACTTTAATCGCGCTCTTTATAAAAAAAGAGTCTTTCACGTGACTCTGTTATCACTCGGAGCATAAAACACTAGTAAAAAATGCTCAAAATATTTAATTACTTTTTTCTATGTACACTGTTCGTTGTATGAAAGATATTACATCCTTACAGTGTAAAATCAGAGCATTCACTATTGAATGCTCGATATTTACATTCGAGCATTTTCATATGTGTTGTAACCCAGTGCGATCGTCTACGCTCTGTCAACATATATGTTGCATCGTGGGTAATAATGCCTTTCAGTACCAATTGACACAGTGTAGAATCGTTATTAATCTTTCTTTTCATCTATATATAAAGACGATGTAATTTTTTTACGAATGTAAACAAATGTCGAAAATGACAATATGAAATATATGTATAATGGACAATGAAGTATTCCTTGAATATGTAATAAGTACATATAGTCTCCCTTATGCCAGAACCATGAATGCGCAATTCGATAAATTCTGGCATTGCTAACCTGGACGATAACTCACATTCATGGTCTTGGCGTAAAGGTAGGAGTAAAAAAGAATATTTAACAGTCCAAAATACATTTTTACTGCAAAAGGTGAAAGTTCGCAGTTTCACGATTTTGACAAAATATTGTTTAAAGAAGAAGAGACCCGCATAACGCGAGTGTGTAAACACACACGTACACATGTACGTACGTACGTACGTATGTATGAAATTTTATTTAATGAAGAGAATAAAGAGAATAGAGCTGTGCGGTTTGATTCATGTTGAAGACTTTCCATTTCGGTCTGTTGACTGATCAACGGCATTGACAGCGTCGTATGGGCTTACATTACAATAAATTATTATTCAGTTCTTCGGAATTAAAAAAAGTTCACTTTTAAAGTCTATGCAGATTAAGTTTACAATTAGAAGAGTAGCGTAGTCATGCCACCCATTTCACTTTGTTCCCTAACGAAGATCTCGAAGTACTGATATATAATCGTGACGGCCAGCAAGATACCAGTACCGGAACCGATCGCGCCGAGGAAATCGGCTAGTACGGACAGAGCACCGATACACAATCCACCGAATGCCGCCGCAGTCGGAATGTATCTGTTCAATTCGTGAATCATCGAATTGTCTCTGTGTCCTCTCATCACCATCTGTTGTTCCTTTAACTGCTTCGCAATCTATAAATTAATTTGAATTACGAAAATTACGCACGGAAGAATATGTCGTGCGTGGAGAATAATTTGAACAAATAAAAAACAGCAGCTGGAAAAACAAATTTAAATCGAATACTAACGTCTTTAGCTGAACTGCCAGAAACTTCAATCCACGTTTTCGAGAAAAAGGCACAAGATCCAAGCATGAAGAGAATGTAAAGGACGGCATGAATAGGATCTTGAAGAATATGTCCTACAGACTCTGGTGGCGACAAGTAGTAACACAACCCTCCAACAGGGTAAGATCGCGCTGGACCTCCACCGCCAACATCAGACCATACTCCTAATAGATTAACAATGATATTTCCTTGAAACTTAACAGCCAACATTTGTGAGATGACGTATAAATTTGACACGAGAGCCGATTGAAGAATAATCGGGATGTTGCTGGTGTAGAACAGTTTGATGGGATAGCTGCTATACTGGCCTCTGTATCGGGCGGATTTGATCGGCAAATCAACACGGAAGCCCTGTTAATAATAACATAATTATGGTTTTGATCCAAGCTTTTCTATGTGTTGATTTATATGGCGCTGTAACGTTACCTGGAAGTAAATTACGATGGCAAATACTAAGATTGTGGCAAGTAAGTTCATGAGATTAGGAAGGTTTTGCCTGTAAAATGCTTCGCGGAGAGCTCGAACTTTGTCTTGCCTCGTAGCCAACAAATGGAACAATGCAATTACTGCACCTTCGAATTCCGTGCCACGTCCTAAAATGTTTAAAACAAAGATGGTTCGTTACATGTAATGTAGCAGCAAATTACAATATAAAGAAATATCGATAAGAATACGGAAGTATCATACCAGTGTTAACAGTAGTAGGAGAAAATGCTTTCCATACTATCGTTTCGCAAATATTGGTTGCAATGAAAAGAGAGATACCACTTCCTAATCCATATCCTTTTTGGAGCAGTTCGTCCAATAACAATACAATCAATCCAGCAACAAACAATTGAATAATGATCAATAAACAAACTCCTGCTCCAATTTCTGTTGGATCACCATACATGCCAGTCATTACATATACAATGGCTTGACCAACAGTGATAACCATACCAAACACTATAAAAAAATATGAATTTTGCATTAAAATAAAGATAATTTAAAAGAATATCTGTGAAACATAATGTATATTTCTTACATTTCTGTGCACCGTTAAAAAGTGCTCTGTCTTTTGGAGTGTCGCCAACCTCAATGATTTTTGCACCACTCAACAGCTGCATAATTAAACCAGACGTAACAATAGGAGAAATTCCTAATTCCATAAGGGTACCTCTATTTGATGCAAGTATAACTCGAATCCAATAGAATGGATCCGCGCTGTCCGATGACATAATACCGAACAAAGGAATCTACAAATGTCAAATAAATATATTCTTTATTAACAAAAACATTACATACATAATATCAAAATATCAAGAACCGTGATAAAAAATCCTTACCTGACAGCATACCAAGAAGATAAACAATGTAATTGCAGTCCATAGTACTTTCTCTCGAAATTGAATCTGTAACGATGTTCAGGTTGTTAAATCATTATTGAGAAACGTGTTTAAATGGGGATAGGATTTTAAATTAACTTCCATGGGGATTTGAACATTTGACAGACAGATGGCGAACAGTAAGGACGCCCGACTTAAAAAACGATTACCCGCGAGATCGAAGAATATGGTACGTAAAACGTTAAATATGAAGGGTCGGAAATAGAATAATATGAACTTACTTTTCGCTGCGGCTTCTCTATTTCCGGGAGTATACTGCAAAACGGCTTTATCACCTCCAAAAATTTGACTGAAAAGTATACAGGTTAGAAACGAACATTCTTGTTAACGACACACCGTTGAACAATAGACGAAATTAATCAAAGATTCAATGATTTGAACAATATGTGCTGCACAAGAAGAGAAATCGAGTGAGGTTACGTTTACAAGTTAATATATCACGGTGATAATTATGAATAGAAATATTTTGGGTCTTTTGATCGAAAATAGCTCGTACTTACACCCCATTTTAAATCCGAGATGACGACTATTCTAGGCGACGCTTCTTACAGATGTTCGGAATCAACACAGTCGCGAGGACATCCGATTAGAGCAAGAACACGATTAAACCTGGCCGCGTAAGCTTAACTGGCAAACCGTAGTGAGTCGTGGCTCCCTTCGTCGACACGTATCAATATACTATTGTCACGTGACCTGATGATGTTGGCCGGCACAAGGCCGGACTTTCGAAAGCCTGTGTTAGATGACTCTGAATGTACATAAACAGTGGCGACTCCTTGACCGACTATATCAACAGGAGAACCACGATGGACTATTATGCATTTTGCAAATCTTGTCGGTCAAGAACTTTTTTCTTGTATATTCTCATGGCCGTTGTCACGTATACGTGAGTTTGTTAGCTAATCACGTGTATGTGATTTTACCATTTCAGTTATCATATTAGCACAGACGAGGTATACGAGTAGACCTTTCACCTAATGTATTTTTTCGGCCCGTTTCTCTGGGGTCACGAGACCCCATTACCATTTCCGTGTCATTTGCAACGTTACCAACAGATTCAGAAATGAATTTCAATCCCTTCCATAGTCAACTCCACGTGGATTTACGCAAAACTACAGCTATTTGCCTATCAATACTAATTCAGTGAATAGTTTCTCAACTGACCGCCATCCAAGAGCAGAGGACGCTAAAATCACCTCCGAATTTTTCGCTCAGTATGGCAATTGTTCGAACTGACGTACAAAAAGACAAAAATTAACGAGATACACTCTTCCAAAGTGGAACAAAATGTTAAATAGATCATGCATCAAATTGTAAGGGGATCTTCGTAAGAAGGCTTCAATCTTCGTAATGGTTTTAATGAGTCGATGATCAACAATGGCTAGCTTATGGTCACTGGTGGTCAACAGTGAGGTTGACATCAAGGTCAGCGGTCCAGTGAAGATCCAGAAATGGTTAAGAGGTGGGACCAATCGAAATAGTTTCTTTGTAGACAAGACAGTCTTAACTGTTAACTGCAACTTTGGCTCTGATTAGTCTCCCCACCCTTTCATCACCTTGGACAGATAAGCAGGGTCACTGCGAAGAATTCTTCAGTCGCGTCGCGAATTCGGGAGTGTACAAACAGCCTGAAGAGAACTGGGGACCGCTGCTGCCCTCTGCTGGCCGCTGCTGACCACTACTGGCCAGGGCTGACCACTGCTGACCATGGCTGACCAGTACTGACCACTACTGACCACTACTGACCAGTTCTGACTAGTGCTCCTACCACTACTGACCACTACTGACCACTACTGACCAGTGCCGGACGGTGATGACCAACGGTAAGAACTGTTTAAAAATTCTCTCCCCTCTTCTATTCTATCGTTTGATGCCAATTTTGCTTCAATGAACTGATTTTGCCTTGCTTGCCTAACTGACGTTGCTATAATATGAATATTTTTTTACTTTACAGCTGACCCAGTGGTAACTACCCTATGTACTGACAACAAGTAGTAAGTCCACTCTACTTATTTATATTTTATTATTTTTATTTGTTTGTTTGATGTGAATTCAACTTCATTTATCTATCTGATTTTATTTGGTTACTATGAATGTTCCTTTTCTGTGTTTCCACTTTTACATTGTTCTTCGAATTTTTGTGATTGCTTCGATATGTATAATATTGCAGGATATATTAATGTAACATTGTTTTCAATCGTATACTATATTTGTTTCTATACAATATCAGGAATTTTTATTTTTAAGCTAGGTGATAGGTCATTTTTAAGTGTTTAAAAACCTCCTTTTTAACCCCTTAGCTTAATGATGTTTCAGAGACATGATGAGTCTACCGGGCCAAACATGAACAAGACGTCTCGGAGAAGTGATAAGTCTACCGGGCCAAACCTTGATGACGCTTTTGGCACGCACAGTTGGAAATTAAATCGTAAGGCAAAGGGGTAAAACAACTGGTTGTATACGTGCTCTCTTTGGCAAGTGTAGTTAGTATCTTTTGCTTAAAATTATAATCTTCTTGCACACCGCGATTTTTAAGATGACAAATGTCATAGTAGATTCATTTTTAATTTGACACTAATTTTAAAATGAATATACAATGAGTACATATACATATATGAGTAGTTCACTTTCTCTCGTCCGCTCGTTCTCTGGTTCTCGCTTTCCGAGATTATGTCTCGACCGAAAGGACCGGAGAGTTTTGCTCGATCACCTCTGTTAGATTGAATGAAACATGTGACACCTGTGTATTAGGTGTGATAGCTCTTACCGCTTCAACCCCGGTGCAGCTTGGTTCAGCTTAAGTGGGGCCTCACCGAGCGCATATATTCTCCTCTTTATACGGAAAAGAGAATGACCTCCGGTGAGAGTTCTTGACCCATATCCGTTCTCGAGTACTAAGCGGGTCCTGTTGTGATCATGTGTCCTCCAGGACCCGGCGGTTGTACGTAGAGAGGCCCGATAGACATGGGTCAGGGGCGTGACTTGCTTTTCTGATAATCAAGGCCGGGGGGGATCAATCTGATACCCACACTCACTGCACGCTTATGAGCACGTGTCGCGTCGCGTTTTATTTAAGCGTGCGATGTTTTTACATGCCGCAATATTTAATATGACAAATATCGTAATATCGATCGAAAGTAGAATCATGATTTTAATATCTTTTATAATACTTATAATTATATTCATTTTAGAATGAGTGTCAAATTAGTAGCTTCCGATTGTTCTTTACATTCTTCAATAATTAAATTCACTTTCATAATTGAGTTGACGACTTTGGGTATCCTCGATATCGAAGATACCCAAAGTCTTTCTTTACTTATTAAAATATATCATTAGATTGACGTGCAAGAAGATATTTCGCGACGAATACATTTTACAGTCAAAGTAACCTCGTGTAGTATGTACTATTTTTACTTTCTCACTGCACTTGCCTGTAGTTGTAGTATTTGTAGTTTTACAGATTCAGTGTTGTACAGATTCTCTTACTAATCTATTAAACAAATTTCTGTTACAGAGCAAATTCCTATGGAAGTTTTAGGTTTACAGAAGTAAGAATTAAGAATTGTTACAATTTTGTTTGATATTACTTTGTTTGTGTTTCAGGAAATCATCGTGGGATAAATTGAAGATAGAAGAAAGAAGAATGTATTTCATGTATTTTGTTCCAAATTGCTTAGTTTATGTTTTAATAATTTAGATTTATAGTTAGGTAGAATGTAATAGTATGTTTTAGAAAATCTTCGTCGAAGGATCAACATGGAAGAATATATTTTCTATGTATTTTGTTAGATGATTAGATAGGTAGGATGTAAGTGAATTTAGATTTATAGTTAGGCAGGAGTTTGGTTCTCTATATTAATGATTATATCAGGCAGGCAATATTTTGGTCTATTTCTCTGTTTTGTTGATGACAATTTAAAGGCAAATTCTTTCTCAAAAAACTCTTTCGTTGGTTGCACTTTCGTTTGTTTCTTCTTCGACCAATGATTTTTGGTCAGAGATCGTTAGTAATGGAGGGTGGTTGGGAATCGGTTAGGGCGGGTCTCCATTCGCAGCAACCTCCACGTGGTGAGACCTGGGTAATATTATTTAGCGTTTAATTAATAATCGTATCACTTTTAGCTGGGTAATGCAATTATTAATTAAAAACTAAATAATATTAGCAAATTGGCTGCGATCCGCCTTGCATAGGTCATCATAAATATAGAGCTTCTTCACTAGGTTAGTTTTGATTCTCATTGATTCATCAAAGATTCTAGAGTATTGTCAAAGATGAGGTATAGAAGTAGATCCTTCATCCAATGTATTTTTGCGGCCTATTTTTATGGGGTCTCGAACCCCCATTACCATTTTCGTGTCATTCGCAACGTTACCGACAGATTCAGAAATGAATTTTAATCCCTTCCATAGTCAACTCACCTGTATTTACACAACACTACACTGTTTGCCTGTCAACACTAATTCAGTGAATAGTTTCTCAACTGACCGTCATCCATGTGAGGAGGTCGCTAAAATCACCTCCGAATTTTCAGGTCGGTATGGCAGTCAGATTGGGCCACGAAAGTCCATAAGACGAAAGGTCTACTCGTATACCTCGTCTGTGATGTTAGCATTGATTTAATTTACAATGCTTGAAATATATTTACAAACATGCAAATACTTACATTTTCTCATTTGTTTGAAGATACTTGACACTGTTTCGCAAACGCCAAAACGTCAAAATTAAATATAAAGTCTTGAACAAATGAATTTCTTATTTTTAAAAATGAAGAAACTGGATGGAATGCATGTGAATAATAATAATAAACAATTACAAAATTAACGAATGATAAAATATCAAGCAGGCTGTAAAATTGAGCAATTCTTACAACTTTTTGTCATTCGATCGCTGTTTAGCATAGTATTTAGTATTTCGAATGCATGGATGCACGTTATCGTTTGAGATTGGCAGCAAAAAACACAGCAAAAATAGTGGAAGAAACAATTTTCCAACAAATCCAGTAATTCTATAATCCTTCAATTATAAGATTTTAGTAATTTGTATTTAAAAAAATTTTCAATTCCATTTTACAATTGCATCTTAACATTTGTAAAAGGACTTTTGCAGCAATATGATAGAACGTATTAAACGTCTGTTGTTTTTTTATATGTGTTAAAACCATTTTTGACATGGTGAATCTAAAAATTAAACTATTTTATTTTAGTATACGTATAATTATTTTTTTTTAAATTGTTAATATTTCATGAAATAGGTGGTATTGTTTGAAGTGCCGTATATAACATGAAAACATGATGGTCAAGTTGACCGTAGCGGTTGAGCGCGTGTATCCGTGTCCACGTAATACAATATTCTACACCTAGACTATGGTATTGGTTACCTGAAACTAGCGATGGACTAATATTAAATAATGAAACCTCTATTTTAGAAACACGTTCAAAACTAACAAAATAATTACTTAGTTCTACCTTCCCACCGTTATATTACGTAAATTAAATCACGTTTCAATTCCACTAAAAATGTTTCAGTAAATAGTGATTCATTTGGCGTTGAATGACTCAATAGAGACTGTTACTAAAATAGGGACTTTGTTTCGCATTCGAATTTTATCATGACTCAAATAGGTTTAGTTTGCTGACGGATAACATAAATAACTCTCCAATTATAGTTTCAATGAAACTATGAAAAGTAATAATTAAAGAAAATTATTAAATAACATTGTTTGAACAGACAATAACAGAAATAATTTCTTATCGATACTTCTATATGGACATTTTAATTTACGTTTCTTGTTTAAGATATCGGAAATATTAAGTGACGAACAGTAACCTTGACAAAATTTGATAGTTTACAATATTGCTATTACTTGAACTAAGTTATACTGTAGTCTCGAAGACATTTACATAAATTAAAATATTATGTAAAATATACTAGGTTTTACATAAATATTGATTTAAATACTCGTTTAATTATGCTGGGAAAGTTCTAATCGAATAACACCTAGTGCGTCTTAAAATTGTTTAAAAGGCCGAGAATGCACGTATCGAAGATCTCTGAAGATATTTTACGGCATAAAATAATTGCAGCCGCGCTGACGTTGTTCTTTCATATGTGATTCGAGAACTATAGAGCATAAAATTGTAGACGAGTATCTTCGATTACTGCTTTCTTTTTATTTCGAAATAATCGAACGATTTGGATAATTTTTCGCGCGATTGACGAAATTATTCAAATCTATTTCGTAATGATTCTATTGATAAAAAAAAATGTATTGGACCGTGAAATAAAAACTGTACAATTCGAACTCTCGTTATTCGTTTTCTTTTCATTCTTTCTTATCAAAGAAATCGATAAAAAGACACTCGAGTACGACAAGTGTACCAAATTCATGTAAATAGTTAAAACACATGCCATAATTGATCGAGCATGTGTGTGTATGAATACTGATTGCCGTTTAATCAACGATTTTATCTAGGCATAGTGGCAATATCGATTCAGTTTATCGTTTAAAATATACCCGAGTGGCATACCTAGTTATTTACGATTACCGAATAGGTGAATGTAGAACTGTTATATAAAGTGCAAACGTCCAGTCAAGATTCACTCGCTATTTTCCTTTCGAGCGTGTCGCACAGAAGTCGCGTGTACATTATCTTTATCGTTTTGATCGAACGGTTACGATGAGAAACGTTGCCTGCAAAGTTTTTATTCTCGGATTGTGTCTCGTTTTCGTTGCGGACCGCGGGTAAGTGAAAGGGACCGTGGAATGTTAAAAGTTTCGCACGTAGTTCGTATTCTTCGTATTTACAGGGAAGGACACACCGACGATTCTAAGATAGTTATCGAACCAGTAGTAGGGCCATTCGATCATAGCGAGGGTCCTCACTGGGATCACAGTTCTCAAAAACTCTATTTTGTCGATATAGTGGCGCAAAAGATATGTAGGTTCGATCCTGCAACGAAAGATCATGCCTGTGTTTATATAGGTAAACTAATAATTTACATAGATTCGAAACAAAGAAAGAGAATGACTTAAAACGTTATTTTTCTAATTAATGTTAGAAAATGGGCCTGTTGGAGTTACCGTTCCCGTCGAAGGTGAACCAAACAAGTTGGTGGCTGGTGCCGGTACCGATTTCATTCTAGTTACGTGGAACGGCGACAAAAACGTTTCAAGAGCCGCTCCCGAAACATTAACGGTCGTGGATCTCAACCGCAATGGCACCAGATGGAATGACGGAAAGGTGGATTCTTCGGGAAGATTCTGGGGAGGTTTGTTAACAATGTTAATTCATTAAAAGAAAATATAAATTCGATTGCATCGTAATAGATATACAGGGTGTCTACGCTAAAGTGTGACAGTCGCAATATTTCAATAACTATTGATGATACGAAAAAATCCTTTATATATAAATTGCAGGATAAAATGGGATCTCTATTTTGGCATAAACGAAAATTTTGTTTATGTTATTAATTTAAAAGATATGATGGTGATTCGTTTTTTAAATGGAACTATATATTTTTGCTTCGAATCATGCGATAGTGCTTTTCAAGACGAATTCATTAAGCTGCAATTTATTCACTCGATTTTTATTAGTTTTCAAGATATAACGCTAAGAAAGGGTACTTTAATATTCAGATACTATACAATTTTTACATCATCGCATTGCAATTTTATTCACGACGATGGAAAAATATATCGAATCGAAAGTTACATTACTACATAAGGTCTAGTTAATAAAAGTGTAAATTTTATTTATACAGGGTGTAAACGATAACTTTGGCAAAAATCATAGGGTAAGTAGAAGCCCCATAGGCAAGTATTTTAAGCATGGGAACCCGTGTCCGGAAATGCAACAGTAAAAAATTACGGCGATCTTTAACTTCGGTCTTTAGCTCCTGATGGATAGAAAACCCATCGTACTGGAAACTGTTTCTTTTGAGGTGGGTCAGTCGTGTAGGTGACAAAGATGACAAACATTGAAAATTTTACGATGAACAACGAAAACATTTAATGAAATCATGGTCAAGAAACAATAAACTAAAAAAGTTTGCCTACCCATCAGGCGCGAAAGACCAAAATTAAAGATCGCCGTAATTTTTTACTGGTGCATTTCCAGACACGGGTTCCCATGCTCAAAATACTTGCCTATGGGACCTCTACTTACCCTATGATTTTTGCCAAAGTTATCGTTTACATCATGTATAATTATTAACGTTTATTAATTATTCTATTTTAAACAAAACAATGTCTGGTTTTAACGTTAGAATAATATGTGGACACTTTTAAAAACTGTTAGTTTTTGTAGTAATTTGTTGTAAATTTTGCAAACATTTCATCCAAAAATTGTCGAACCGCTCGCCCATAATGAGGAGGAGCACCGTCGTGTCATGAAATAGACGGAATTACGTCTGTATCGTGGTATAACTTGACATAGTTCTCTCAAGAAACTAGTTCGTAGAAATCGCAGATATGTTGCACCTGTTAATGATGTAGACAATTAAATTTGCCTGCTAAATATTTCTATACCGAACCATCTTATCTTAATATCAACAAGATAACTTCTTAACGAAGCCGCCATCAACAAATTGGTATTCTTGATTTTCGCTTTACTTTGGTCTCTAGAATCCCCCATTAAAATTTTTCCCAGGGGTGGCCGAACACCCTGTATATTTTCGAAACGTGTAAACATAATAACGCTGTAACAATAAAATTATTCCCTAAATTACGGCTGACTTGAGACCCACGGTTCCTTTGAGACTTTTGTTCCTCTCGATAGGATAATAAAAAATTTGACCTTGCTTTTCAAGGTCAAGGACAATTTTGCGGTCCATTTTTTAAATCTCCACCGATCTAGAGGTGTAGAATCCGGCTATAGTGGTCGTGACATATAATTTTTATACACCCTATACATTGTTCGCAGGCACGATTGGTCCAGAGGTGAACGATGTCGTTCTACCCGATCAAGCAACTTTATATCGTATCGATTCGGATCTACATCCCAAGAAAATGTTATCTCCCGTTACAAACAGTAATGGATTAGCTTGGAATCTTCAAGACGATACGTTCTATTATATCGATACGCCTACGCGTGAAGTGGCAGCATTTGACTTTGATCCTATCGAAGGGAATATATGTATGAAACTGCTAAACCGCATTATCTGAAACGCCCGATATCGGTCAGAAATAATTTGCAAGATGTACTTTTCATTTTTAGCCAACAAGAGGATTGCATTTGACCTTCAGAAAAATAACGCTTCCGGCTTGCCTGACGGTATGACCATAGACAGGGATGGAAATCTTTGGGTAGCTTTATACAATGGGGGTGCCGTAAGTATCAACATCGAAATGTAGATATACCGTTTAAAAATATTTATAGAATAACGAAGTTCTTAATAAACAGGTGGTGAATGTAAATCCCCATACTGGTTGTATACTGAGATATGTGAGGCTACCTACTGATAAAGTAACTAGTTGTACATTTGGAGGCTCTGATTTGGATATTTTGTACGTAACAACATCCAGCCGTGGTTTAACTGCAAAGGATTTAGCAAAACAACCACACGCTGGTTACGTCTTTGCCGTGCACGGTTTGAAAGTACACGGCTTGGTTGCAAATTCGTTCAAGATGTAACTTTTTCATTGTTTTACAATGACTAATACAACGTATTTAAAAAAAAAAAAGATCTTTATCACCGAATATTATTATCTATGGCAATATTCACCAGTATTCTTAGGAAGAAGCGGTCGATGAATAAAATTATACGCAGCTATACTACTTGTTTTTTTTAAGTATCACTGTATCGTAAAACAATTTGCACTTTTGTTGTTGCAATGGTATATCTTGAAAACTGTTTCATTGATTTGAATGATTTAGGCCTTTAATTGTATCGATCCGAAAAACCTATAAATTAGAGATTAGAAATTAGAGATTAGTCAACTTCACAATTTTTAATGGAAATTTCTGTGAAAAATGATATTTTTTAATTCCTCGGGCAAAGAAGATGCATACTATTCGCGCGTTACGTATATAGCTTATTTTAAAAGCATGAAATTATTGCTAGCTGGTAAGGAAGTTACTTATCACCAGAGACCAGGTATACGAGAATACCTTGTCTGTGTAGCTACCCTTTTCTATGTTGAACCGATTTTATTATACAACTCTTATCGAAACTCTTAACACTCTCTTTACGAAGATCTTCAAGACTCAAGTCATTCAAGACTGATCATTACAATGTAATTAAATTGTATAATTGAAATATAATATAATTGTATCAGCAAAACTTTGTTCTGAATATCCTCGATATGCACACTACCTTGTGCGCATCGTACAACGTTACTCTTGCCACTACATAATTACAAAATTGTTTTGAGAGTTTGGCTGCTAAAGACGTCATTATCTTACAGTTGATAAAAATTTAACTTATAGGTCCGACAATGTCAATCGGTTATCTCTACACTCGTCTCTAATCGTATTTTGTTGGTCAGCGTTCGGTCACAGACGAGAATTAGGCGACAGTAGCGCCGTACATTAATGCGTTAAAAATTAATTTTAAATGGGATTTCTTTTATAAACAACATTAAGAGATTCCATTGTTTCGAATTATTTATGATAGTATTCTATTGATTTAATAAAACATCATATATAAGAATGCATATATAAATAAGATTGATAAGTGGAATGGAAACATACACTGATTTTCAGCACTAACAACCAACGATGCGACGCAAAATAAAATCATCAAAAAAGAAATAAGAATTTAACTTGTAGAAAAATATGAATTAATTTAAAAAAAACCATTAGGCTATTTTCATAATTACGACTCAGTTGCGGCCGCGGAGCCGGAAGCAGGAGCTACGTCCGCGCCCTCTTTTTGCCCTAACGATGGAGCCAACTGTTAATCATTCGGTTTTTGTTCGTAGTGGACAGCAGACCTGATCGCTATCCGAAAACCGCGGTAGAATCATTCCGAGTACGTATCATTGCTTGCTTCGTTAAGGTCTTGAACTTTACATTTTACCGTTTTCCCGTTATTCGCTCATCGTTATCCGTTATCCGTTGTCGTAATCGTTATCCTTATCGTTATTTGTTATACGTTCAATTGTTGTGTTTGTAAAAATGAGCCCTTTTATTGCTTGTTATCTGGTGTTTGTACATTCATAACTCCCGCCTTTCGCTTCCGTTTTTACACGACCTAAAGAAAAATAGTCACGGTCCAGGGACACGACACATACGGGGTGTCACGCTAAAGTGTGACAGTCGCGATATTTCAATAACTATTGATGATACGAAAAAATCCTTTATATATAAATTGCAGGACAAAATAGGATCTCTATTTCGGCGTAAACGAAATTTTTGTTTATGTTATTAATTTAAAAGACATGATGGTGAAGTTTCGTTTTTTAAATGGAACTGTATATTATTTTTTTGATCGTGCGACAGTGTTTTTCAAGACGAATTCATTAAGCTGCAATTTATTCACACGATTTTTATTAGTTTTCACGATATAACGCTAAGAAAGGGTACTTTAATATTCAGATACTATACAATTTTTACATCATCGCATTGCAATTTTATTCACGACGAAGGAAAAATATATAGAATCGAAATTTACTGATTTTCAGCGGAGACGTCTCGGCTTTAGTGGCAAGTCATGAAAGCAGTTCTATTGTTGCGCAATTTGACTCCGCGTGTTGAAACCGACAGCAAGGATCTACGCTCGAAACGACAGGCCCGAAGAGTAAGAAGCATGGAAAGTATTAACCATGCAAATTATTAGCGACTCCATCCTCGATGCGGCAAACTTGGACCGTGATGGACAATACTATCCATGTTTCTTACTCTTCGGGCCTGTCGTTCCGAACGTAGATCCTTGCTATCGTTTTCAACAGGCGGTATCAAATTGCGCAACAATAGGATTGCTTTCATGACTTGCCACTAAAGCCGAGACGTCCCCGCTGAAAATCAGTAAATTTCTAAGCGTTATATCTTGAAAATTAATAAAAATTGGGTGAATAAATTGCAGCTTAATGAATTCGTCTTGGAAAGCACTATCGCGCGATTAAAAAAAAATATATATAGTTCCATTTAAAAAACGAAACTTTACCATCATATCTTTTAAATTAATAACATAAACAAAATTTTCGTTTACGCCAAAATGGAGATCCCATTTTATCCTGCAATTTACATATAAACAATTGTTTCGTATCATCAATAGTTATTGAAATATCGCGACTGTAACACTTTAGCGTGGACACCCTGTAATTTTATTATTTTTGAAATATTTCTTGTGATAACTTATCCATGTCGTAATAAATTGAGATATTGTAGGTATACAGAATTATCTGATTGTACGTAATAGTTAGTATATATATATGTGACAAATCATCCATTTGCACAGTAAAGCTCTTGGTCTTATGTAAGGTTAGTGCACGATAAACAAGATTCAAAACCCATTAAAATTGTTATATGTATAATTGAGTCGATCTTAGCTGCCCAAAAATAGAAACGCAAGTATTAATTAACTGAATTAAATATTCATGCAATATTCAAAACTTTTCAAAGGAGCACCTGTTGCTTTAATATACGTGTTGTGTAACAATTACAATTCTAAGTAGAGTATACATGCATGTACCCCACACGCACGCGCGGATTTTTTTTTTACAGGGTGAATACATGTCAAACCAATTAGTATGAGATTTTACAATTGTGTTACAAAGAGAGCCAAGTATAGATAGATAGATAGATTTGTATGTAATTACATATGTATACTTACAATTATTTTTTAGGAAAATGTCAAAAGTAATTATCAAACCACTAGTAGGACCATACACTCTTGGGGAAGGTCCACATTGGGATCATGTTTCTAAGAAGTTGTATTTTGTTGACATATTTGCTCAAAAAATATTCAGCTATGATCCTTTGACAAATACTGTTACTTCAACCTTTGTAGGTAAATATTTACACAGTTATTATTTTATTATTTATAATGGACTCCATAGGTATTCAATAATATAATATACCATAATCTCATTGTTAGATAATGGACCTGTTTCATTTGTTATTCCTTTAAATGGCACTCATGATAAACTGCTAGTTGGAACTGGTATTGATGTAGCAGTGGTTACTTGGGATGGAGAAAAAGATCTTGCCAAATGTAATAGTCAAACACTGGACACTGCAGACAGTGATCATACAGAGACCAGATGGAATGATGCAAAAGCAGATTGTTCTGGAAGACTCTGGGGTGGTTGGTTGAGTGCAGTGATTGCTTTTTAAGAAAATGTATTGTTATAAATTTGTATACTATACAATAATATAACTTACTAGGAACAATGAGCTTAGAGGAAAATGGAGAATTTCCACCCAACAAGGGATCTCTCTTTTGTATGGAGAATGACCTTGTGCTGAAGAAACAAGTAGCTCCTGTATCTATAAGTAATGGATTAGCTTGGAGTCATAATGAAGACACATTTTATTACATTGATTCACTGAGTTATCAGGTAGTGGCGTATGATTACAACTCTCAAACAGGAGCTATATGTAAGAAATTTACAATGTATCTTACACGATACAACATGTTTCCTATTAAATAAATTTACGTGTTCAATTACTTTTTCTTGCAGCTAATAAGAGAACCATCTTCGACTTGCGGGAACAGAATATTCCTGGACTTCCGGATGGTATGACTATAGATACAGATGGGAATCTTTGGGTTGCTGTATATGGTGGAGGTGGTGTAAGTATTTCATTACTGTGAAACTATTATAGAATTAATAATTAACATTGACTTCCTGAAAAAGAGAAAATGTTTTAATTTCTAGGTAATGCAAATAAACCCGGAAACGGGTAAATTGTTAAAGTTTATCAAGATTAACAACGCAAAAAATATAACCAGTGTAGCATTTGGTGATGCTGAATTAGATACCTTATACGTAACAACAGCGCGGATAGGTTTAGATGAACATCAATTAAAAGAGCAACCATATGCTGGTTATTTGTTTAGTATAAAAGGTTTAGGCGTACGTGGTTTACGTGCGAATTCATTTAAACTGCCAGATAAATTTAACATAGATGAAATTAAATAAATATTCTACAGATGTACAAATATATAAAACACATTCCTATAGTAATAAATCATTAGAGTAACAAATGACACAATGTGTAATGTACACACACATAACAATGTCGCAGTTTATAATAATTCTTGTAAAGAAATAAACTTCACAAGCTGAAAAATAATCATTGTTAATACTTATTTAATACAAGTAAATAATATTTTAAATATACATATATATATTTTTTTTAATGAAAAAGACATTTTTATAAATTATTCATTAGAAAATGTACATATCTTACTAGTAGTTAATTACACTTCTCTAACTTTTGTTTTTTCATGTAAAGAAAAGTTAGTTGCTGAATATACACAGTAGAAAAATAATGTATTGTTTTTTCAATATGCAAGAACATTTTTCTGGAATTATTGTGAAATAATAATCGCCGTAATATATGCTATTTAAATTGTTATCGGAACACTTCGAAAATAAACGGTATTAAAAAACTGTTATCTTGAGACGTACCGAATACGTGAAAAGTTAGGTTCTTAATTATTTTCACGATTTAGAATACATGTACATATTATTATCTATTCTCGTATGTGACATTTAAATGCTTCATATAGAACGATTCCATTAGGCACAAAAGTGAGAAGGCTAGCAATTTATTAATCAGTCGTCTTCAATAGAAATGGAAACCGTATTGTTGCAAAGGTGTTAGTATGATAAAATATCGTTCGTATAATTATACACCTTGTCAATAATACGTAACGAACTCTATAATTTGCCACTGATAATTGCAATACTCAACCATAACGTGAATTGTCAATTTAGGGGGAGAGATAATTTAATCTTATCTTCATTATGGACATTCAATCATCTAATGTTATAATTTCAACGCTATCATTAGCGGTTTTATCTCCTTTTTTGTTAGAAACGCTACTTGATTTTCCCCTAGGTAAATCAAATATAGTCATGCAATCTGTTATAATTTCAACGCTATCATTAGCGGTTTTATCTCCTTTTTTGCTAGAAACGCTACTCGATTTTCCCCTAGGTAAGTCAAATATAGTCATACAATCTGCGTTTGATGGCCTCAAAGGATCTGATACTTTTTGTGGAACTACGCTTACACCGGAAGATAAATTCTTTGGATACTCCATAGTTGGTTTCATTTGTGGTTTTTGTTGGGGTATAATCTCCAAATGCGAATGTTGCTTAAGTTGGGAAAGCATCGATAGAGCCTCCACAGAGCTCCCTTGAGGGAACGAACTGGTCAAAGAACTGGTGGTATCTATGGAGGCTGGTGGGTTCGTTTTTACAGATGATTTTTTGTAATTCGTATATTTCATACCTGTACCTTTTAATCCAGTTTGAGGATTCACAGGACTCACAGAGATTCCGCTTAGTTCAGGCGGTATGAAAGGTGGTTGCGTCATGGATGAGCTGCCAGGCATCGCACTCAACAGAGTAGAGAAACTGCTAGGTAACGTGGGTATCGCTTTGGCTGGTTTCATTTTCCTCATAGGGTTTTGCACGTTCACTTGTGAATATGGGCGCTGTGAATTCTTCTTTGACAACAATTTGTGTTGTAGTGATGTCCCTGAATGAGGAGTAGGTACATTCATCGGTAACGTTTGTTTTAGGCCCATCGATGGACCTATTGTGGTATGTGCAACTTGTGGTACCACTGTTGAATTCGTAGTGGTGCTACTTTTTAATGGAGAATGCGATAATGAGGGATTGTGTGCTGGTTGGGGTTCGGTCAGTGACTTTGAAACTCGAATTTGAGGCGCGCTCATCTGTTTCGGTGGACTGGTTTTAACATGCTGAACAATGGATGGTTTCAAAAGGGAAACTTGGGTAGTTGGTGGTTGAAGAACTGGTTTTGAAGGCTGCGATATTTGCAGAGACTTTGAAAGTTGGATTGGCAACGCGTCGCTTTGCGAGCTTTGTTTAGAAGGTTTATTTTTAGGCGGCACTGTGTTCACCGGCGTTATCGATATACTAGGTCTATCTTTAGTGATCGATGCGGTGGTAGTGGTCGTCTTTGTCGTAGCTGCCTGCTGATACATAGGTGTAGAGCGTACAGTAGTGGCCGTGGAGTTACTTAAATTTAACAGTTGTTGTACCGTCAGATTATTTAAGTTACCTAAATTGCTCATACTGGGGGTGGTATTAATACTAGAGGTAGATGTACTCATTGTAGGTACATTGCTAATATTAGGCGCGGTAGCAATTATGTTATTTAAGCCACTAGTCAGGTTGGACAACGAGGAGAGATTGTTCTGATAGTGTCTGAGAATGTCTTGATAACTACCCATTTGATTTAAGTAATTCATGGTTGATAGAGGATCCATCATGCTACCGCTTAAACCACTAGTTAATATAGCTGATAATATGTTTGGATCGACTAGCGGATGCATGAAGTAAGGATTCATCAATGAACGATTTCCAGAAGCTCCCATGTAATTGGTGAAGTTCGCTTTTGTGTTGAACTGATTCATTGTGTTGCTACCCTGTTGCATGGCTTGCAAATACTTATTAACGTTCGGCGGTCGTCCTCTTGGTCGACCAGTGGATGTCATACTTTTGTATGGTTTTCGGTTTTGAGATGATTGTGACGATGTTGAATTAATCTGAGGTTGAGTTGTGACCACCTGCTTAAATAGATATTGAAAGTACATACATATAAAGAACCTTTTGCGGAATCTAAGCGTATTTAAAGAACATACAAAAGCATAGACTGACGCATATTTCTAAATTTCATAAAACTTACAGGAGTTGGAGAAACAGCTTGAGGTTGTGCCTGAGTATCCGTGGTAGGTTTGTCAAGACTAGAGAAGAATTTGCTTAAAACTTTGCGATTATAATTATAATCATTACAGAATTTTGTAGCAATTTCCAAAATATTTCCTTCCAAGTTCTGTTAGTAATAAAAATGTTTAATTATCTTCTGTGATTAATATTCAATATGTTTTTTGTATATTGTTACAAACTTACTTTGTTACCGACATATGTTTTATATGTGTCCACTAGCAAAGCAGAAAGTGTCTGTATAGTTTGTTCCTTAGTTTGAAAATTTTTTACAGCTCTCTGATATACCCAATACGTATCAAGCAGTACTTGAGTTCGAGCATCTGGATTTTTGCTAGATGCAGGATCAGAAGTAGTAGGTCCCATTAATTGCACTTTTGTTCTAAGAGACTGTAAGCAGAGAGTTAGCGCTTGACGAGACAATTGCTCCCTTTCTGTATCACGTAAATATTTCCTGAAAGAATAATGTATAAACTTTATGAAAAAAGTGCTCTTAATATTTAATTTTCAAGTCACCAACATAAAATGTAATTTATTTGTTAATTTATTATGTTAAAATGTACTTGTCTGATTCTGGTATCTTCCCAAGTTGTATACTTAATTGCATTAACATTCGGCCATCATTTGTTTCTTTAAGTACTTGCATCAATAATGTTACACATCTTGACATATGAAATGCAAAGCTTCCTGGTCTATCTACTTCTCCATTTGGTATATGCCAAACACCCTAGAAAGATAAGCTAATGTTATCTTGCATAACTTAAGATAAGAAAATTTATTTTCTTTACAACTGATAATTACAGAGTTAGAAAGTACTATATATATCAAGAACAAAGAGTTAGATAGCAGTATACCAAAAACAACCATACATTTGTGTGTCAAAGGTAGCATAACAGTGCGTGAAATCTCGATAAGTATGTCAATGTATTTCCTATTATGAAAATAGAAACCAAAGTAGATTATGACATATTCATTTTATGTAGGTGACCTATTGCAAGGTACTTTTTAAAATCAAAAATATGAAGATATATACTGAATGTATTGCTATAATTTTTTTCTGTTTGGTGATAGGGAGTGTCAGGTAAATATGAAACAATTTTTATCAAAAAAGAACTTTATACTATCATTTATATAAGACTACAAATTGTTATTAATCTCTTAAGTGTGTTCACGTTTCTTGAGTAAGTTTTTGGGTAATGTATAAGATGAAAATAATTCATAATTTGAAGATATTTTAGTACCAAACTAACACATTTAAAAGATTGAGAAATATAAAGAAAGTAGTTTTTTAATATGATTAATCTTTACTAAAGTGATTTTTGTATGTATTATTTCATACAGTATATATTTCGTGTTAAAAGAGAATAAAGATATCACTATTAAAACTTTCATAAGGTCCAACAATGTTAAGCAGAAAGTCATAATAGACACAGATGCTGGAGCGGATGACGCCGCTGCTATACTTCTAATCCTTAAATCGAAACCTAAAGAATTCGAGGTTATAGCAATTACTTGTTCATATGGGAACACGTACGTGGATAATGTAGTAGAAAATGTACTTAAAATTTTAACAGTCGCCAACCGAAGTGACGTAAGTGCATTTAATTGGTCATACTGCATTGCTAAAACTTTTTTATATTGTGTCTGTTCTAAATTTGATAGATACCAGTATATAAAGGGGTACAAAAAGCATTATTAAAGGAGTACAAACCTACCAATTTCTTTGGCTCTGATGGCCTTGGAGATTTTAACTTCACAGAAAAAATTATTGCTAAACTGGATAACACTAAACATGCAGCAGTAGCACTAGTGGATTTGGTAAATCAGTATCCAGGTCAAGAATTGATCAAATTTTTTAATGATAAATAGGTATATCTAATTTAAGTTCTATATTTAAACACATTCTTTATCATTTTTAGATGAAATAACTATATTAAGCATTGGGCCATCAACAAATATTGCTACAGCAGTCGCATTGGACCCCTTGGTTTTGAAACACTTAAAGAGTCACATTATACTAGGTTCAAGTGTCTCTGGCATTGGTAATGTTTCACCCAATGTTGAATTCAATTTTGATCAAGATCCAGAAAGTAATTATATTGTATTGAATAATACAGCGATAAGTACAATATTTCCATGGGAAACAGTTATTAATAGTGTATCTGCGGTAATTATAAAGAAGAATAATAAAAATTGTATATCTGTTACTGTAAGTTGCAATTCATATATTATATAAATGTGTGAATGACATTTACATAGGATTGGCGTATAAACACACTGGGAAAGATAAATTCTACTATTATGAATTTCTTAAATAATGCAGAAAGTAAAACTATATTAAGGAATAATGAATGGCATCCAGGAGATGTAATGGCAGCTGCAGTTATGATATGGCCAGAGTTAATAAAAACATTCATTATAAGAAATGTAAGTCCTGTGGTTGATGGAATGGCAAGAGGCACAGTACTTGTGGACTATACTAATTCTACTGGCAAACCAAAGAATGCAAAAATTATACAATCATTTAACACGACTGCTTTCCAAGAAGTATTATTAGAAGCATTTTCTTAAATGTATCAAGTTTGTGCATGTTTATTAAATTTATCAAATTTGTATTAACTAATGTATACGTACGAATGTTTAAAAGTAAAAATATAATGTACTTACACTGAAGAAATTAGTACTCTTCCTATCAGCAAAAAGTCCTTGAAAATTCTCACCCTGATAAAACTGGCAATTGTAGCTGTCTAGCAAAAGATTTCTGCATTTGGTTATATCTTTGGCAGTCTTATTATTGAAGAAGAAGTGTGACAATCTATAGAATGACTTGTAGTGTTCAGAGAATCTTAAAATACACTGTTCTAGACCAGCTAAACAGTATGCTATCAATGTAGCAACTTCTTCTTCTGTCATATTTTCTTCCTTTTGGGCGAAGCTAGAGTCCTTTTTCTTCTTTTCACTGTCACTTTCACCAGAGTCACTGTCAGTGTCACTTGAACTATCGCTATCAGAACTGTCTTCGCTACTGCTCGATTCATCGCTACTGCTTGAACTGGAATTATTCGTTTCCGTTGTTGTCGTGGTTGTTTGTGTTGTCGTGGTGCTTTCTTGGGAACCTCTTCTACTTAATGTTACTTCTTCCTTGGTCGTACTTGCTAGTTTCTTTTTATCACCAGACTTTTCCTTCATGTCTTTGCTACTGCCGTGTAAGTCGTCGCTTTGCAGCCATTTCCCATCAAATTTTCTAGTGTCATCGTCTTCGGGCGTTGATTGCCGCGTTTCCTGACTAACCTCCATCGCTTGTTTCATTAGCGCGTCCATTAAATCCTGTACATTATCTAATTTTTCTTCGGGTTCATTCGCGCTGCCCATTTTCAACGGGTTCGTAAAATCCTTTTTATTCTCGATGGAAGATTTCACCTGCAATTTCGTTTTTTCAACATTCTTTGTCCTCGCTCTTTTCCTCTGCGACTTCGACTCATTGCTCTCATCACTTGACAACACCATAATGTCATCTCCTTTTTCTTTCTGCGAGACCATGACACAAACTTTCGTAATCACATCATCTATTAGAGCTACGACATCTTGCATCAATTGTAAATGCGATACGCTGCCAAGCTTTATCTTCTTCACGTTGTCGTGCGGCATGTCGGCCAGAGGACGCTTACGCATTTCTGTTTTCTCGACACGCTGATTCGTACTGAAACCTTTGTTCGTTCTATCTACTATTTCGATTTCCTCAATGCTGTTCGAACGCTGACAAACAGTAACAACATTTCTGTCTCCCTCGGCAGAAAGCTCTACTTCTTTTCCAGTGTTTTTGTTACCCGCAAAAAAGCCATCTTCTTTACCTCTTTCGCTCAGCTTCGAACTGTACTTCATGAAGGGCCCTTCAGCGCACTTCTCTAAATGCAAGTGCAACACTTGTCCTAATGATTTCTTCAGAGGTTTGCCCTCGTGTTGTTCCAGATATTTCAATATACTCGCATGGATACGATAATGCACCTCTAATGCTTCAACTGAAAGATGCTGTGGACACTTGTGGCTTATTCTACGTGGGTATTGTGCATTATTATGATACAACAATTCGCTAGCCTGCAATTGAGCAGAAATTAATCGGAATTTATACTGCCCACTCCAATTACTATATTCTAATTTGCGCGTACCTTTGCATAATATTCCAAAAATATTGGAGGATCCTGGTTTTTTTTCTCTGTAATTTTACCAAGCATATACTGGTAAAGCCATCTTTCATCGTGGCGTATTGTTCCATCCTTGATTCCAATAAATAAACGTGCACAGGACTGGAAACATTGATCCGCGATTTCCAACATTTCTTCTTTTCGAGTTTCTAAAAATTCGAACCGTTCCATACTCAACGTGTCCGTCTCTTGCTTTAACAATCGCGAACAGAACGAGTGAACAACATAGGCAAAGCTTCCATATTCTGTCCATATAATATGATTACAAGAGTCCAATTCTACAGCATGCCTATAACTGGACTGAGTCAACTTCGCCTTTGCTAGAAGTTTATCTTCGTTTCTGAATACAAAACAATTATTATTAATTTGCCTCGCACACCGTTAATAAGTAATTTGAGTTGATACTTACATTGGTTTATATTTGTTTAACCAGGACTCTATTACAGTGCCCGATGACATTGCTAAGCCAGTCCAAGAGCTTAACCTTGACGGATGGAAACACAAATCTAATAAATAATAACGAATCGCTACACTCCACTTGCCATTCTTGAAATAAAAATCTCCCAACAAGTAGTAAATGGTGGACATAGAGTGTGGCAAAGGTTTCTTAACCGTTGGCATCGTATCTCGTTCACTCATTATGTAGGCTCTCATTTCATCTATCACTTGACTTGGATCGCTTTCTGAAGGAATTAGCTTCATTATGCGCTTGAAAAGCTCTTCCGTGTCCGCACTAATTGTTAGAGATCTAGGCGAGCAAAATTCTGGTATCTGCTTGGGCTTATAGAATTCGAACAGCAATTGCGCTCCCTCCCAAGTTACTTTCATCTTAGGAACACCGTGTTCCTCTAGATGCTTCGGGCGCCCTTTGTTCACTCTATTATAATGGCCATACAGGCAATAAAATATCTGTTCCAGATATTTAGAAACTTTGCTCTTTATACTGACAAACTGTGGTGTTTCTAACTTTGGAATTACCAGATTCAAGGTGAAGAACAAGAGCTTCGCCTCGTTATAACAACACCATGAATGTCTTCCCATGAATTCATGAGCAATGAATAAAATCATTATAGATGCTGGAACACCTTCATCTTCGTCATCTGATTCGGAGTAGTTGGAACTGTGCTGTCTATTTTTGTATGACGACTCAACCTTTGCTCTCTCTTTGTCCTCTTTGTACTGTAAAATATAGTGTAATAGGATCCAGGGGAGAACGGTTTCAAGTGGCATTTCCACAGTAGTGTCAGATACATCCAATTGACTGCAAACGATGTGAACCAAATTCTGAACTAATCTCGAAAGACGATTCTCGGGCAAATACCTTAGAATGAATGTGCTAACTTCAACTGTGCATGCTTCCAGCTTTTCAAGTGCCGTTAGAACAGACATTGTCCACTTCTTTTGTTCAATTTCATCAAAAGCATTTATGTAATTCTGCCATGCCTCGTTAAGACACGCTTCTGCCCATACGTAACATTCTTCATATTGCTGAAGTTGCCATAAACTATCTAATAACATCGATAACTGTTGAACTCTATCGACAATGTTATCGTTAACGGACAACAATTTATTTCCCTGTTTCGCGAATTTAAACGTATCTTGCAATATGTAGGCTAGTTCTGCATATTTTTTTTCATCATACAGGCTTTGTATCTCTCCTAGCTTTTGTCCCCTATATTTAAATCACATTTTCAGAACATCATTTGTTGATTATGTTAACAATATGTTATTGTGGCGCTGCTTCGCTGTTGGTGGGATCTCGGAAAATTATCGTAGGAAGGTAGAAAAGGAAAGAAGAGAGGCGCGTTTCGTTCGGGCCTGCTAATGGACTCATCAGTAAGGCTTTCTAGCAGGCCCTGCCTTACACGACTGGACATTGGGAAGTCGGTCGAGGAACGTATATATAGCAACGGAGGGATTGGTCAAGCGCTTGTGAGAGCGCGACCCCTTTGGTGGGGAGCGTGGGAGGTGACGCCACATGTTTAAAGGACATACGTACCTCTGAATGGATCTTAGCTTCTTTTCCACAATTTTAATACTGATGCGAGAATTACATTTACAATTAGGCAATTTAAGATAAATATTTTGATTCTTCTTTTCCAATTCTTGCATATGATTTAACAACTGAAAACAAATTTAATACTAACGTTTCTGTTAAGTTAAATAGAAAAATTTGTTTATTGGTAATCGAAGTTGCTCACTAATTCTATAGTTTCGATGACGATATCCGTGTCACCTTGGCACAAAAAGATATTGGCTTTAAGCCATAAAACCCTCAATAATATGAAAATATTTTCTTCATTTAAAATATCATGTCTGACACTTGTAAAAATTATATGACCTAATTCCTCTGATGGCATTCCTGTACCAAGTTTATCTAATCTGTAACAAAACATTGTTCATTTTGCAATCTTTAAGTTTTAAGAATGCTAAGTATTTACAAAAATAGCTAATAGATAAGAAAACGTACGTAGAAGAAGGTAGGATGTCTGGTTTATTACTCAACCACCTATCTGTATGAAGTTCACCGAATAATAAAGTCATTTCAGCATCTAATTTTAAAATATCATCGTTTACATCTTCTTCAAATGGTGATGGATGTGGAATATGTTCTCTGTAAAAAAAGGAATAAGTTCTACCTTCTGGATTGTATTTAGAATGGGATTTATATGCATTCTTTATACCTCATAAATGTATAAGCTTGTAAATATATTTCTGACATTCCTTTTGGCCATTCTCGATTCCACTTAGTGCATAAAAATTCTGTATATTTTGCTATGATTATCATTAAATTGCTTTTACCACTGTGTTCAGTAATAAATATGTTCACATCAGCTGTTTCAGATTCTGTACCAAAATAATTTTGCTGCTGACTGTAGAAAAAAGAGATTAGTTATTATAAAGTTCTGCTTCTAGATTCTTAAATAATTACCTTGTATCGGGACTCGGTGATTTTGAACTTTCCGAACTTTTGATTGTTTCCGTAGCGATACTATTATTTTCTTGATTTGCAAACAGTTGATACAAGTCCATTGTATCCATAGAATCGTCCATATTTTTAGATGGATCATCTTTGGTTAGTTTCACTGTGTCTGGTCTGAAATATACAAATTACAAAATTATACAGAATTAGTAAAAATTTGTATAAATACATACAATAAGGTGCTAGGAAATATTCTTCGAAGAGTCTCTTCTAATTGAACATCGTCTCTTTCAGCTTCCCTTCTGTTTGAACTTCTCACTCTCGCCGATCGTCTCATACTATTGCAGCTCCAAGCCCATTGTTGCAAAAAACACAGAGCACTTCTCCGTCTTTTCTTCACCTTTTGTCCTTCTTCTTTTGTCTCATTTTTATCATTACATTTTTCTTCTCCCCTGCACTGTATTTTATCTGCTTTCTTTAAGTCTTTTTCATATGGCTTTTCACTGGATTTGTTGCTATCTTTATCACTAACTTTATCATTCTGTACTTCATTACCAGTGTTAGAAGTATCATCCACTATTTTCTCAGAATGTAACTTCTCGCCATTCTCATCTATTTCAAAATTATTTTGCTCTACTGATTCATTTTGTACTTGATTTTGCTCTGAAATACCCTGCTCTGTGTCTGAAATCCTCAGAGGATCCTCATCCTCTATGATCTGTACATCACTAGAACATGATTTTTTATCATCTTCTTCTTCAACTTCCATTACAGTGTCACCGCCATCACACATTTGATTGTCATCCATTGGTTCAAATGGAAAATTTACTTCATCCGTGTCCATTTTTGACAGTTTCTCAGTATCATTTTCTTTCTTTACGGAAATATCTTGCAATACATCTTGATTGATATTCGTTTCATTATTGACTTGGGTAACATCTTCATTATTTACTTTTAAAAGTATTTCTTCAGGATTAAGAATTGTTAAATTAATTCTACTAACAAAACTTAAGTCATTTTCAGTGATGTATCTATGTATATCTAATAAACTTTCTCCAACATCTAACCAGGTGCAGCTTTTTATTGGTTTTCTTAGTGTCAGGTCTGGTAGTGGTTTTGGAGTAAATTCTATTTTACATGTTTCTGCCCATCTTGTGGCAACATCTTTTGCTTCTGCTAATAATTTATCTCCTACTATGTGATCATATTCAGTGTACAATGGAGGATCTAATTGCCAATCACTATTATACAATTTGTAACATTCTTGAAGGCATGGAATGTCTTTGAATATTCTGTCACGGAAAGCCAAACCTTTCACATATGTGGGGTCACGTTCTAATGCCATAGAAATATATAAAAGACAATTCATATAATCAGGAACAGCATATAAGGCAGTTATCATATCATCTAAACATGGCCAATGATTTGAATTACACTTTAAACCTTGCTTAAATGATGAACAAGCTAACTCTAAGTTAGAGGTTTTCATAGCTAAAGTGCCTATCCTATACCACAATGTTACATCCGTATCATCCAAATTTGCAGCTTCCCAATAATTTTCTATTGCTTCATCGTAATTTCCTGTTGCAGTTCTTATAGCAGCAATATTTTTGAAACAAGAATACTTTAACAACAACATTGGCCTAGATCTGCCATCAGACACATCAGGTTTTTCAACCTCGTCTAACAGTTCAGTTTCTAAAAGATCTTTAAAAATATTTAGAGCATCTTCCTGTTTGTTCTCCTTCAATAATACTAAGGCTTTATTATATTCAGTGAGAGCTATTTGTTCCTATAACAAATGCATGCATATTAATTGATCCTTCCAAGTTTTAGCATATGTCATTAATAATACACAATAAATTTCAACTTTTACAAAGAAAACAAAGAAAGAAACAAGGTAAAAATATATTTCAATTATGGTATTTTATATTTTAAAAGGAACTGAGTCATCCTATATGCAATGTAATTTATCAGAAGAAAAAAGTAAAAGAAATTAAATACATGTACGGAGTAATAAGGTATTACCTAGTAGAGATATGTTTATTACTCGTAGAACAAATCTGAATAATAATTAATTATTTATCGTAAATTGTAACTTCTTATTGTGAATAGCTAATTTGAAAATGTTTCCCATCGTTCACCGTTATATGAATGTTTATGTTGTTTGTTGTCAAATATTGAGTTGACCGCACAAATCAAACAAACTTTCCGAAATAACGAAATTTATAGGTTAGGCTTTTTGAAAGACTAGAAATTAACATTTTCGAAACGTACTTGAGCTTCTTTCGTGATCGTTGGCACATCTTCGTCTTCGCTCTCTTCACTAGATTCCTCATTTAGCGCCGATATTTTTATCATCTTCGCGAGTTCTTTTAAATCAACCCGTATATATAAAACATCAACAAATTAACCGGTTTTTTTCAGCATCGCCATATTAGTACGTAAGTACTACTAGGGGAGTCAGACTCATGTGTTACGACTAGCAACCTCCTCGTGGTAGGACTTGGTAATCGGCTAATGGTAACCGAGCTAATGGCTGCGAATTTAAAATGGTTTCTTTAAATATCGGTCCAAATTGTTAATAATAACAACCCTGTACATCATCTAAAGGAAAAGAGACTTTCCTACGTTTGTCAACTTTACCGATTTTAGTAGTTCAATCGACCACTGTTTTTTTTCAGATTGTAATTATAATTATAATTGGAGGGATAGTTCACTGTGGCCAGATCGGGCATAATTGAGCGCATCGAAATCGACAATAGTGACGACGAACTTCCTTGGCGTTTAAAAGAGTGGTGGGAAAAACTGACATATCTTACCGCGCGAGCCACATGTTACATCAGGTCAGCACTTCATGACTTCATGCAACTTCGGGGAATCGATAAAGAACGTGAACGGGAGCTGTCCAAGCATTTTTACGTTTCGAGCTATATAAGCACATACATATGAGCAAAGTCCATAATGAATGAAAAATTTACACGTGAATACACGTTTTAAGACCCCTTGATCATGTTTTAACTATTGAAAAAAAAGAAATAATTTTTATTATTCCTATGAATGAGCATATGTATACATATGTATGTTATTAATACGATTCAGCATAAACGGCTGATTAAATTTATACTCGATATGTGAAGAATAGACTTGAATGCTGCGTATGCGCCATTCTTCTCGCTTGACCATCTTCGATCTTGATTCAATGTAAATCTTCAATGATATTCTTCGTCTTTCTTCTTGCTCCACCTTGCTTGGTGGTTGAGGGATGTCTGCCGCGGGCGCGCCAAGAGGCACGGTTTTTATGCAACTTATTGCAGCCTAACTAGCTGCTGATTGGCTGAGGGGGTCGCTAGTTGATAGATATGGCCAATAATTCAAAATAAAATTAAAAAACTGTTATATGAAATATTGGAATACTTAACAAATAAATCGTTTGAAAATGGTTTTCATAGTCTTATTTAATAAATTATTTTCAAACGATCAGGGGGTCCTAAAACGTGTATTTACGTGTAAATTTTTCATTCGTTATGGGCTTTGCTTATATAGCTCGAAACGTAAAAATGTCTGGGCAGTCGAGATTCGAAATTGTATGCCATTGACGCAAGGGCGGAACTTCAGCTGTTCAAGAGCAAGAAGGAAAGGCTCCCGTTCACGTTCTTTATCAATTTTCCGAAGTTGCATGAAGTGCTGACCTGACGTAATATGTGGCTCGTGCGGTAAGATATGTCGGCTTTTCCCACCACTCCGTTAGACGCTAAGGAAGTTCATCGTTACTCCACAGACGTTTCCTTCACAGACGAGGCATCTGAGGATACTTCGTCTGTGGTTCCCTCGAGACACTGGTCTGTTCTTACACTTAACTTATTTAAACTTCAACAAAGACAATTTTCCAGAACAGATACTACTATCTCTAAAGAACATTAATAACAAAACGTTTAAAAATGACGCATGAAGCATAAGCTATAATTTTGATATATCGACATGAATGTCGAATATTTCCCTACTGACGATACTGTCCTATGACGTTGCAACAAAGTCACTGCCTTCCACTGTGCATACGAACAAAAACTTTAATGTATTAAAATGATATTATTTAGATATGAATTATGATAAAAATTGTAATCATCATAAATATTTCATTAAAAAATATGAGAACAGTACAAAATGCTCTTCCTCAAGGAAAACCCATGTATTGAGTTTAATCATTTTACTCAACATCTCTTCTAGGGATCAATTATCTAACCATTTTAACTTCAACAGTGTTTCGTGAATAAATAAAAGTTGTCTTCCATTAGAAAGTAATACCTTGTATGAACAATTTTCACAATTCTAAAAAAGTTCATTGAGAGTTTATTAAACCTTCATAGGGATAAAAATGGCTAATACCAATCTATTAAATATTTACAATTTGTATCTAAGTAAAGTCGTTTTTATATGTAAAAGCAAACTTTACAATAAAACGTTAATTTATCTAAAATTTGAAAAATGCTCAAAAATGTTGAGCAGTAATCATACAAGATGAAACTATTTAATTCTATTATCTAATTTTGGAAATATAAATTAAAAAAATGTAGCTAATTTCGGTTTAATTGTTCTTGCAATGACAGTACAAATTAAATGTAGAATTGAAAGGCACTCTTAAGCTTTTGAATTAACTTTAAATATAAGTGATTGAATTATTAAACAGTTGGAGTTAGCATGCAACAATGTTCATGATTTGGGGTAAGTGATACAGGAGTATTTTATTGTGTTTGTTCATTTATAAGTTGAAGGAAATAAATTAGAAATAATATCATGTACATGATGTAACTCTAATGATAAATCCTTTAAGTAGCTCATACAAACTTAAATTCTCACTTACATACAGTGCCAACATATGTATACTTATAAACAGGTGTTTCTGATGTGTTAAAATAATTTTCTTTGTCAAAGATTTAGATATATTGTAATATACAGCAAGATATTATAAATAAAAACACCAGTTTATTAAAATCAGAGTATATTGTAGTCACTGTGTTAAATATGGTCTCATATAAATCATATCAAAACATTTTATTCTACGGTGGATAGATAATAATTACGATGAATTGACATTGTTTTATTTCTTAGTAACTTATTAAAACTATGGAACATGGCAACAAATTAAAATGGAAAATGAACATGAACGTCATAGACATTGTTAGACAGTAGGGGGTAAGGTACAAATAATTAATATTATAAATATACAAATAGTAGAACAAGAATTCAATTAAATTGAGTTAAAGTTAATTTTTTAATCAATTTATGACGCATAGCTGATAATCCTTTGTACCTAAATATGTTCTAAATAAATCTGAAATGTGCAAGACAGAACTTATTGCTGTTGGCACTTATAAATCATATTATAAATAACAGTTTTCTTTTTATTGTATGTTCAAAACATTTCTATTAGATAACAATTGTATAAAATCAAATCTACTTTTCTTGTTGAATTTGTATCAAAAATTTTGAGCACGCAACAATAGCGAATTTAGATTATTATGATAAATATGTACACTGTGGGAAACTGGTTCGTAGGTAGACTACAATTTGTAGATACATGAAGCCTTCTTGATTCTGTAATTATAATCGATTAATTCGTTATAAGAAGAACTCTTGTATCCGCCTATGAAGTATAGTAAAACTCATTAGCGTATTCGATTTTATACTGTAATTGCATAGTTTACAAAGTTTGCTTCTAAATTATTTGTTTTGTTATCACGTGTTGTAATCATCTTTAGATCCCGAAATACAGAGACATTATTGGACAGCATCTTTTTTTCTACCCGTTGGAACAATTTTCATACTTGTCCTGGTACTTGTTTTAATGGTAATTTCTCGCAAATTCACAATTGCAATATTATTATCACATATTCGTTATAGAATATTTTTTTTGGGATATAAATTTAAATTCATAATAATTTCAGGTTTTGTTCAAAAGATGTCCACAAATGGTCGTGGCGATTGTCATGTTAATTTTTGGTATTATTCTTATATTTGCGGCATTGTTATCAATCTATTATGAACCAATTTATGCTTGATACATTCTAATGTCATTATCACGGACACAATGCATCATTTTATCTTTTCTATTATCACTGATATAAGAACACATATGTACATACGTATTAAATGTTCTTATAACATATATACTTCTTTTTTATAGTGATAAAAGAAAATATTTTTGTGTCAAATGTATAACTTTAATATAATGTTTATTAATACAACAGCATCACTTACTGCTAGCGTTTCTTGTTATTTAATTTTATTTTAATCATATCCTCTGATACCCTTATTACTTTCTGTTCATAGGCATTTAATGCTTCTTGCAACTTTTGGTAACCCTGAAATCAATATTAACTTCTCTATTAACATATTTATGCTATACAACATAGAACAGTATTCTAGAAGAGCAGAAAATTGATATGTTACCTCAGAAAAAATTTTATTGTTTGTGCTAGTACTAGTTTCTTTCAATTCATACAAAAGTACTTCTAATGTATTGAATGGTAACCAAACTGCTGGAGCTACGGATGTCAAATATGTTTCAAGTCCAAAATGTTCTTTACCAGTGCCTAAAACTGCATTAATGTATTCAACTGCTAAATTGCCAGCTTCTAATATTCTACCGGTGTTTAACATGAGACGGAGAAGCTCCGCAGCATTTCGTTTCTGCAACGTATAAGAAATTGCTTTAAAATATAAATACGATTATCAGTTTTCAAATTATTTACCTTATACGACATTAATAACCATTGAGGTATAAATGCTCCTTCTTGAAGTAACTTTTTGGAAACCGCTTTATGCAATTCACTAGACCCGTCTTTTTCGTGTTTTAACGTTAAATGCTCCAATAATGTCCAAGCAGTATTTGTAATATTTGTATTAGATAAGCCAATGTCAAATATGTCATTTTGAATAAGCCAGTCCCAAGCATTTGAATCTTCCCTCCGACATAATCGTATACACTGCGAGGTCAGACTTTCAAGTACAGAACTTTTATTGATTTTAAATTGATCACAGAGATGTAATGCTGTCGTGTATAAACCAATAGTCGACAAAATAATGATCAGTTCTGAGGGACCAGCGTGCGCGACGATGTGTAATTCTGAATTTATTTTCGATATTTTCAATCTGGCGTCTACTACATAATATTCCTTCTTTATGTCGCTTAATTCAAGAACTTCGACCTGCTTCTTTATTTTGCAAGTGCCACTTCTTGTTTGTGGGCCTTGATACTTTAGTTCCTCTGGATAATTTTCATCGATAACAGGTCTAACAATCCATCTATATTTATCTGATACAAGGTGCAATGCATTAATGCACGCTAATAAACAGTGAGCTTGCCTTGATACAATAGGAACAGATTGCGATTCCTGGCTTAAACGCATAGCTTGTTCATACATTACAGAAGCAGCTAAAAGAAATAATCAAGTAAATTGTTGTACAAATAATTTTTAACTATTAAATTTATAATAGATTAAAGCACTACCTTTACGCATGTTTCCTTTATTTATGTGAAAACTGTACAAAAAATTATAATAATTATTTTCCATGAGATCCATGCTCCGGGCTCTACCCTCTACTATTCTTTCAAGATCTTCGTACATATCCACATATGGAAATGAAATTAAATCTATCAACTTTTTTCTCTCGAATAAAGTTACTACTAATTGTCTTAAACAATCCACTCTACGTGCAGTATCTGGGTTCGAATTTAGACAGTTGTAAGCCTTGGTGTGGTGACCCAGGTTCAAATATTGTGTAAACACTATAGAATGGAGTGTTGGTAAATTAGGATCGTTTTTGTCAGCCATTAATATAGCTGTTTCAGCGAGTTCTATAATACAATCAGCAGCATTATATTCCTCAAACAGTTTGATGACTTTTAGATAGTATTGAATTAACGGATTACTATCCAATGGTTCGTTAGACTTGAGTAAGGTGTCAATTAGAAATGGATCAGTCAAAATTCCCCCAGAAGCTCGTAGGAAATGATCACAAGCTTTTTGCGCTTCTCCCATTTCAAGCAACGCAACTGCCAATATAAACTTCCTTGACGCGCTGTTCCATTCGCACCATGTGTTCAAAAGTCTCACATATTCTTGAACGACTAAGAATTGGCAACTAGATAATAACCATTTGGGGAAAATAAAGTTTCCAGATCTTGGCCATCTGTTTGATTTTTATTAAGGAAACGTAAAAACATCTTGTGTTCAAAAACTGTGTAAACTGGCAAATGTTTTTAAGAAAGGATACATAAGTTGTGCGATGAGGGTAACATGTGTTAGCATACCGAAATGCCACGGTATCAGAGTAGTTGCATCCAAATTTGTATGAACCATCAAATTGTGAGCATGTTTCGCACCGTTACTTTGTATAAATAATTCTAACAACGACAATGATCGATGGTGCCTGAATCCCACGTTTGTTCTCGAATCAACGAGTTTCAACAACGTTAGACATCGAATACTGGAGTCTCTAAAAATATTTGTAATAAATTCAACCTGTTAAGTGTACACACGCATAAGAAAGAAAAGTTGTCTTACAGCAACGATTGCGCAAGTGTTGGTAGTGCCGTGGACTCGCATATCCATGTTACAACATAATAAGCTTGCGTTAATACTACTGTTCTGGGTGCTAATGATGATTTTATGGAATGTAATGACCGCGAATCAAACAACTCTGGTCGTAAGAGTATCATTTGTTGTAAAATTAAAAGATTTCTACAGATTGAAAATCTCAACTGCGTTATTTGGGCAACACTCTTCGATATTGCCGAGATTCCCAATTGACTACCAAAAAAGTGATTTATGTTAAGTAACATTTTTGAAGCATCATGATCTTCATTGAGCTGTAACTTATTTGGTTGGCCAAGATCATACGTTAATGCTTCCAACAACATTGCTATGGCACTGGATATATCTCTAATATTTGACAATCTGTGGCAACTTGGATGATGCGTAATAAAATTACTAATAGGTTCTTCTGACTCTAGCATCAATTTCGACAATAATTCATCAATAATGGTGTCTGGACTTTTTAAATGATATAATTCTTTTTTTATCACCATTTTAGTTTCCTCGGACAATTGTTCTTCTAACAATACTAATACCGACATCAGCGTAATGAGGTCTTGACATATATCTTCGTCTTGTGATAAAACGGGTGTAGTTTTGAACCGAGACACATACGATTTTTCATTGCAGAACATCAAATATTCTAAAGCTTCCATTGGTCTTAAAAGCGAGAATGAAGATTTTTTAAGTAGAATCACTCCGTAAACGCTTGGTAGTAATAAGAGTCCTACAGGTCTGGTGCTATTGGCATGATACTGTATGACACAGGAATAAAATTTAGACCAACAGCGATTGGCAATTTTCAAGTAATCTTCATCCATAAGCTCATAATCCGTAACTTCAGCTTGTATCATAGCTTCCACTTCAATACATATACGTGTTTTTAATTCATCGGCAGAAAAAATTTTGTTTTTTATGCTCCTTTGACCAGTAAAGTTCTTCTTGTAAGTCTTCCTGACAAATTTTTTGGGCCTCCTATAGATATTCAATGCCTTTGTGATATCGGCCAACGAAAATTGCCCAGGATGAAAAATGTAATTAATATATGTACGTCTAGGGTTAATGTCGAGATCACTGAGAATGTTGTCTCTGTCTGGTGTTTGCTCTAGAATCGTTGTTTCCCATTCAGAATTAACGCGTGCACCACTTAAGGATATTTGTGCGTGTGTTACTTCAACGGTATCCATATCAGTAGTTCTCCATACAGCCCACAATCGAGTAGTTGTGAAAGAAAAGTCGACTAAATGTTGCTGCAAGTGTCGTTAAAAATTTTTTACGAACTAATGCATACCAGTAATATAATATTAACGGATATGAAAGATACTTACATCTTGTGCAAATCTTGTATATAATCTCTCGAATTTAAATATGCCATTATTTTGAACTGGTTTTAAAATACAAAATTCGCACCTAGTACTAAATTTTAAATATATCCCCAAATATAATACATTATCAGGACCTAATGCTTTTCTCATCATATGACCCTGTGCACCCTGAGATGCAATACGATTATCAATCGCTGCATCAGTCACAGCTATGCATTGAGTTTTATTACAGGACCACATACGAATATTACCCTCGCGACACAAAGCGAACAAATACGTATCACTTCCGCAATTATGTATTACTAAGGACATAGCCACATGAGCTTCAGAATTACGACCTCTAAAAGCAGTTGCTATGCCACTGAGAAATCTTGGCACAATTGAATCTTGCTTTAATTCGATAGTATGTACTAGACCAGTCTTAATATCTAATCTCAAGAGAAGTATAGTTCCCGAATTATAAGCAAGAGCAAATAATGCTTCTTGGGGTGGTATAAACCATGATGCAGCTGCATGAGGCACTGGAGAATCTGTGTAAAAATACAAATAATTTGACTATCACAAATGTTACATTTAAAATATTATTTACTTACTTGTAGTTCCTGCATTTGTAATTACATGAAACATATGAGGTTCCTCTTTTGTTTTATTCACATTTGGTGCAGATGCATCATTGAATATTGATTGTACACCCAGATCCTTGTATGTACTTAGCGAATGTTCCTTTGAAACATATAAGTTCATTGTATAATAACCACAAGCTTTGCATATACTTATTTGATATTTTCAAAAGTTACTTACATTTTTATAAATTCTTTCAGGATGAGGAAACGTTAGTTTATGAACACTAGAAACAGTTACTATTAATATAATAACTGTATTAGCTGTTTCGTGTATTGAAATACCATCCAAAATTGGTGCATCAGTAAATTTGTATGTTACTCTACAATTAGCCAAATTAATATCTAAACTGTGTTCAACTAATTCAAGTAGATTGTGTGAAATGCGCCAATAAATAAAACGATTGCGAGTAAAAAATTTTGAGCAATCCTTATAGGAATATCCACCAGTTCTTTCTGGCACTTTTATATCCTCTAATGTACTTTGACTTCCTCCTACAAAGCAACGATATATTGAATCACAGAGTATAAATCGTTAGAATTTATACAAAGTAAGGTTAGAAACATTTTTACGAAAATTTAACAATTTGCACTTTAAATAATATACATCCTTAAAAGCAAAAAACGTTGATTGTTGCAAAACCAATAAAAAACTTTTACTTTACACAGTTCTTGAACATTTTCATTTATACAGCTAACACAAAAAGGTTATGATCACTCACCTGTGTTTAACGTGATTACATTCCATTTTTCCGATACTGTCTGATCCGGTACAACTTCTCGGTAACCTAATGGAAATTCTTCCATATTCCACTATATTTTTAAATGATCACTATGTCAATTCAACTTTTAAATCACATTACAATGCCGCTCTAAAATTTAGCGGGCACCGAATGCTAATATTACCGCATACACTCCGTGTAGTGTGTACCAGTAACGCTTCACGCTTCGCACTTTGGCGCCTTCGATCGTTTTTATGATAATCGCAACGGAAGTAATGGTATAGGTTATAATTTAGAAATACGATGATGTATCCTTTGCAAAACATATCTAAATTAATGATCAAAAGAGCTAAATATAAATGAAGAAAATTTAATAAAGCGAATATTTATTTATTGCCATGCTTGACATTGTAAAGCTGTGTATCCACATGTCGCGCAGTCGTGAGACTCTCTTATCCCTATGTACGCTGCGTATAAATAAAATAAAGAAAACTACATTTTTGCGAATACAATTTCTCATTTTCAATCAGAGGAAGCCGGCTCATCAGAGATTATATTATTAGATTTTATGAAGAGAAAGAAGAATGGTGGTAGGTAAGGGTTACTGCATAAAGTATAGTTTCGTACGAAAAATTTGATTGCAAAAGACGGGTCAACCAATCACATTTAGGGCTATAGAGAGACTTTGCTTAACAACATTCAAAGGGCTAAATTCTGAAGAGAATTTAGGCTCTCTAAATTATATCCCAGAATGTATCGGACCCTAACATTGTAAATGATAAAATCTACTTATATAGAAACTGACTATTGGTCAAGGACTTCCGGGAAAACTATGGCATACTCTACGCCAAATTAAACTAATATGTTAATTAAATATTTTATTAACAAATAAGTTTACATGTTTGTTCACAAGGAACTAAAGACAGAATGAATGAATTCTTTATTTTTCAAAATAACAAATGAAATATATATGGAATCTTCTTCTAGCAAATCTTCAACTTCAGCGAGCTTTCATAGATGACACCCTAATCGCTGTTTTGGCGGGCACCACAAAACGATAAATATATGAGACATCTGTCGTAGAAAAAATGTATCAAAATACCCGTGAACTTCATAGGGCTAACAATGATCCTTTTTCGCAAAATTATTATCGATCTTTTGTTTGGTACATATTTTATAAAACATTTTCTATCGATGTCTTAATTACGTTATTCTCATTACATTTACAAAATATTTTTATATTCGCTGGCAATTGTTATTTACGTTAATCGGTGAAAGGAAAATAAGTTTCGAAGAGCTTTTGAATAGAATTTCGATTGCGTGGTAAACAATATTTCCATGGTAACCAGGTAGCAGTGGTGGGGGTGTATGTTGTATCAATGGTTACACTGTATCTATATGACATCGTGTTCGTGATTTAGTAAGTACTGAATATTTATTCACTCATTAAAATTTAAAAGAATGAAGATCGAAGAAGTAAAAAGTACTGCCAAAACTCAAAGAATTTCAGCTCATACGCATATAAAAGGTTTAGGTCTTGATGAAAATGGGATAGCAATACAGACTGCGGCAGGCCTCGTCGGTCAAGAAATGGCTCGCGAGGTTAGAATCTTTTATACATAATAAACACAATATAAATGATGAATTAAATAATAATACAAAAAACGTTTTAGGCTGCTGGGATAGTGGTTGATATGATAAAATCTAAGAAGATGGCTGGCCGAGCAGTATTATTAGCTGGTCCACCCGGTACAGGGAAAACAGCAATTGCGCTTGCCATTGCTCAAGAGTTAGGCAACAAAGTACCATTCTGCCCTATGGTGGGCTCAGAAGTCTATAGTTCTGAGATAAAGAAGACAGAAGTCCTTATGGAGAACTTCAGACGAGCTATTGGTCTGAGAATTAAAGAAACTAAAGAAGTATATGAAGGAGAAGTGACAGAATTGACTCCAGTTGAAACAGAAAATCCAATTGGTGGATATGGGAAAACAGTGTCTCATGTGGTTATTGGGCTTAAAACTGCTAAAGGTACAAAACAGTTAAAGTTGGATCCTGCCATATATGAGTCTCTGCAGAAAGAGAAGGTAGAAACAGGAGATGTGATTTACATCGAAGCAAACAATGGCGCTGTGAAAAGACAAGGCAGAAGTGATAATTTTGCTACAGAGTTTGATTTAGAAGCAGAGGAGTATGTCCCTTTACCTAAGGGTGATGTGCACAAGAAGAAAGAAGTAATTCAGGATGTAACATTGCATGATTTAGATGTTGCTAATGCCAAGCCGCAAGGTGGCCAGGATATTATGTCCATGATGGGTCAATTAATGAAACCTAAGAAAACAGAAATTACAGGTAATTAGGTGGATGAATACTCTAGATTTTGAGTTTGGGTTGAGTTAGGAATTTTATTTGGGATCGAGTCGGGACCAACTCGGTTCTGGCCCCGACCCGATTAATACTCAACCTCACCCGAGATTCGGACACCTGACATTTTAGGTACCCGCCCATCCCCACAATTAATAGTAATTTTTATAGTTCAATTTGATGAATTATTTGTTGCAGATAAATTACGCAAGGAAATAAACAAAGTAGTAAATAAATACATTGATCAAGGAATTGCAGAACTAGTACCAGGGGTTCTGTTTATAGATGAGGTGCACATGTTAGACATAGAAACATTCACTTATCTTCACCGTGCACTGGAAAGTGCCATTGCCCCTATAGTTATTTTTGCTACAAATCGCGGACGCTGTGTAATTAGGGGAACAGAAGATATTGTATCTCCTCATGGAATACCTCTTGATCTTTTAGATAGGTTACTCATCATACGAACACTTCCATACTCTAGAGCAGAAATAGAACAAATAGTTAAATTAAGAGCTATGACAGAAGGATTGCAAATCGAAGACGAAGCTTTCGCTACCCTTGGCGAATTAGGAACAAAAACAACCCTCAGATACGTTGTACAACTTTTAACACCTGCTGCATTAACAGCAAAAGTTAACGAGAGAACAATAGTTAGAAAAGAAGACATAAAGGAAGTAGGATCGCTTTTCTTAGATGCAAAGTCCTCTGCCAAAATTCTTACACAAAATAAAGATAAATATATGAAATAAACATTCGATTGATTGTTACTTAACAAACTGTTTATCAATTTCCTTATGATATAGTTTAAGTATTGAGCCATGTATAGTTTTATTATATTTATATGTCTCTAGCTGGTTTAATTTAAGTTTTATAAATAAAATTACATTTTTATGAACTCTACACGTTAATTTTCATTTGAAAACTGTTTATCGATTGATGATATTTGTATCATTTACAATTTATTCAATATCCTCTTACTTTCATTAAAATGAAACACGTGCGAAGGTAGTTTCTCAATATTGTCTAAAATATTTTACAATTCAGGGTTACAAAAGTTCAAGCTGTAATCAACAGTGTGACATCATCAGATGATAAGTCTTGGGGTATAAAATCTCCCTCTACTCCAATATGCTATTTAGTTTTCAAGGATCTAAGTAATTAAGTGTTTAATTCAAACATTAGGAGTGTAATCTATTTATATCTAAATTTGTTAAATACATATAATTGTTACTTAGTATTTAGAATTTATAATTGATCATGTTACATATATTGGAAATGATGAAGTCTTCAAGATTATTAATTAAACATAGTGTGATTCAATACGCACGTGGATTAACAATAAGCAATACACGGTCAGGAAGTATTGAGAAACTATTTCCACAAAAAGATGAGTTTCAAGTTAGACACATTGGACCGCGAGAAGAGGATCAATTAGAAATGTTGAAAACAATTGGTTATAACGTAATACTCTATACTTATTTAAAAGAAAAAATGTATTATAAATTTGGTACAGTTATTACAATTTTATAGAGTTTGGATGAATTAACAAAAGCAGCCATTCCAGCCAAAATTCTTTATAAGGAGGAATTAAAAATTGAAGAGCCAATTAGTAAGTAAAATTATAATAAGTTTATATAAAACGTTAATATGAATAAGAATGTTTGAAATAATGTATTGAAACAGTTGAAAGGAAAGAATCTTACGCAGAAACGTGTAAAGTCACGAGACTTTTGATAACGAACACGTGAGAAGCGATAACCCTTTGATACTGAATCAAACATGTTCAAATAAAAACATCTTCAAAATATCATTAAAATTATTTTCCACAGTAAATTTTTTTATAAATCGCGCACTTGGTAGTTGGGGGTGTTTAAATAAACTTTTACTTTTGTAAACATTGTTCCTTTTTCCGTATAGTATAAATATATCAGATGACCTTCTGTTATTTGTAATACGTATCTTGGGTCAGGGGTCATTCTCGTGCGTTTAGATTGGTATTCACGTGATTTTGTAAAGTAGAAATCTAAGACTATAACACTGTTTATTGTCAAGTTACTTTAATCTATACTTTCTTTTTACCAATTACATCAAATAGCTTTGTTTTAGCCGAGTATGAATTATTGAAAAGGATCACAAACATTTCTTTAAAGAACGATATATGGCGTTCATATATTGGCATGGGATACTACAATTGTTGTGTTCCTCACACCATCTTGAGAAATATATTTGAAAATCCAGGATGGTAATTCGCATTAGACCATAATTTAATAAAAATTTTACGACATTATAGTGACCACTTTAATTTCGTTGTAGGACAACACAATATACACCATACCAGCCAGAGATTTCACAGGGTAGACTTGAAGGTCTACTGAATTATCAAACAATGATATGTGATTTAACAGGAATGGAAGTAGCAAATGCATCTCTCTTGGACGAAGGCACAGCTGCAGCAGAAGCTCTAGCCCTCGCTTATAGAAGCAATAAAAGGAAAAAGTTGTTTGTTTCCGATAAAGTTCATCCTCAGACGATTAGCGTGATCGCTACACGCGCTACTTCTTTGGGTCTCACTTTAGAAATTGGTAACGTTTTTCAAATTGACACCAGCGCGAAGGATATCGCTGGAATACTTGTACAATATCCAGATACAATTGGATCTATTTACGACTTTCAAGATATTGTAAAGAAGGCACACGCAGATGATGTATGTATATGCGAGGATTAAAATTTTTTAAACAAATAAAATTAATACCGAAGTAAGGCTGATTTGTTCCGTTGCAGACACTTGTTTGTGTAGCTACCGATTTGCTCGCTTTAGCAATACTTCGGCCTCCAAATGAATTTGGAGCTGACATATGTGTCGGAACTAGTCAACGCTTTGGTGTGCCGCTTGGATACGGAGGTCCTCACGCTGGATTTTTTGCGTGTCGGCAAAACTTGGTGCGCTTGATGCCTGGTAGAATGATTGGTGTTACGAAAGATGTGAACGGTCAGGACGCGTACCGTTTAGCCCTTCAAACACGCGAACAGCACATTAGAAGAGACAAAGCTACTAGCAATATTTGTACTGCTCAAGCATTGCTAGCAAACATGTCAGCAATGTATGCAGTGTACCATGGATCTAATGGAATAAAGAACATATCAAATAGAGTACATAACTTGACTCTAACTCTTGCAAAAGGTTTGGAGAATGTTGGGAATAAAATAGAAAACGAGTACTTCTTTGATACAATAAAAGTACTGCCTAAGGCGCCTATAAAAAATATAAAGGAAAATGCGACTGCGTTTAAGATAAACTTCAGGTAATTAATTGCTGAATATTTAAATGTTTTTGTAATTATTTGATGAGTGATAATTTCTTCAGGTACTATGATGATGGGGTTGGTATATCTTTGGACGAAACCACTACAGTACAAGATGTAAATGATATTTACAAAATATTTTCCGCGAACATAACAGTCGAAGATGTATGCCAGAACGAATTTTCTATGGACAGAAATCTGAATAAGTCAGATTTTGTTCGCACTACACCGTTCTTGCAACATCCCGTATTTAATAGTCATCGTTCTGAAACAAGAATAGTTCGTTATATGAAGTCTTTGGAAAATAAAGACGTGTCCCTTGTGCATAGTATGATACCATTGGTAAATTATTCGTATATATTAACATTAATAGCCATTAACAGCAAATTATATTTGCAACTCTATGCCAACAGGGATCCTGTACAATGAAACTGAACTCCACAACAGAAATGATACCTTGTAGTCTACCAGGTTTCACGGATATTCATCCTTTCGTTCCTATCGAGCAAGCCAAAGGATACCAGCAGTTATTTGCAGAACTCGAGGAGGATCTTTGTGCCATAACTGGTTATGACAACATAAGTTTTCAACCAAATAGTGGAGCTCAAGGAGAATATGCTGGCTTAAGGGCCATACAATGCTACCATGAGTCTAATGGAAATAAACATCGACGAGTGTGCTTGATTCCTATCTCTGCCCACGGTACAAATCCAGCCTCTGCTCAGATGGCCGGAATGCAAGTAAAGCCTATTCTGGTACAAAGGGACGGTTCCGTGGACATTGCACATTTAACGGAAATAATTAACAAATACCGAGAAACATTGTCTTGTTTGATGATAACGTATCCATCGACAAATGGTGTGTTCGAAGAGACGATTAGTGATATTTGTTCAATGGTTCATCAGGCTGGAGGTCAGGTGTATCTAGATGGTGCTAATATGAACGCTCAAGTTGGATTGTGTCGCCCAGGTGATTATGGCAGCGACGTTTCACACTTGAACTTGCATAAAACGTTTTGTATACCTCACGGAGGCGGGGGACCTGGAATGGGGCCTATTGGAGTGTGAGTAGCGTTAGCCAGACATTTTAGTGTTATGGCAATGAAAATAATCTTTTTCGTTTACAGTAAACGGCATCTTACACCTTTCCTTCCAACTCATCCTATAATCAATTGCTCGGGTAGTGGCAATAATAATGTAAAACAATCTGGCACAGTGTCGGCCGCTCCTTTCGGTTCATCGGCTATTTTACCAATTTCATGGGCTTATATTAAGATGATGGGTCCTAAGGGATTAAGAAAGGCTACACAAGTTGCTATTCTCAATGCCAATTATATGAGTAAAAGATTAGAAAAATTTTATAAGACCCTGTACAAAGGAAATACGGAATTAGTAGCCCATGAATTTATCTTGGATGTAAGGGATTTTAAGAAAACGGCAAATATTGAGGCTGCAGATATAGCGAAAAGATTGATGGATTATGGCTTTCACGCACCGACAATGAGCTGGCCTGTAGCAGGCACGTTAATGATCGAGCCAACTGAATCCGAAGACAAGGGAGAATTGGATAGATTTTGCGACGCTTTTATTTGTAAGATTACTATTTCTCACTGATGTTACTTTTTAAACAACAGTTGACAAGTTTGTGTTTCATTTTGCAGCTATAAGGCAAGAAATTAGTGATATTGAAAATGGAAAATTAGACACTGTTAAGAATCCTTTAAAAATGGCACCACACACTCAAGAACAAGTAATATCGAGTACATGGGACCGACCATATTCACGGGAATTAGCAGCATTCCCGTCTGTAAGTATTTCAAATACACTTAAATACGAAGAAATAAACAAACAAACCGTGTTCTTATTTATATTGTAGTCATTCGTGAAAGGAAGTAATAAGATTTGGCCAAGTGTTGGAAGAATAGACGATATATACGGCGACAAAAATCTATTCTGTACATGCCCCCCCATTTTACCAGACCAATAAGCGTTTGTACTTATTCATCGTGTACAGTTAGTTATAATGGAACTATTTAAATATTTATTATAATTTTTGTACAAACATATTATTTATATAAAATATTATACTTTTACAAGCAGATAAAATATAACAAAGATTCGATCTTAATGCTCTGAATTCTTCCTCTTTAACAAAGAAAGGCGTTTGTTTCATTTTTATTACTTATCAGTTTGATAACTTAATGGCTATATCAGTGTCCATTCAATAGGTATATATACAGTATTCCTTACAGAGTACTTTGTCAATATTTTGTACATATATTACAAACCTGGCATAAGATATGCAATATTGTCGAGCATTTGCGAAAGTGTTTCATGTTTAGCTCCATTAGTTTCTGGCACCTGTTGTGTTAGGCAGATTAAGGGACCCAGAGCACAAAGTAAAGAGTCCAGCAGAACCGACAGACTGCCCGAAACGGCAATTTGCCCGTCATGTTCTTTCAACCGTTCACCAATAATTGTTAAACTTTCACCAAGAAGTTTTAGATGGGCTGCTACATCAATAGGTTGTGTCCCGACAACTTTGTACATACCCGTGCCTATCATTGGTTCGTTAACCAAATCTTTTCCGGTCCGATTTGATGGTGGCGACACCGGAACATTTCCTACAACGGATGGTAGACCTAGTTGAATAGTTTTTTTTGACGTGGCAGGTTTTTGCTCTTTTCCATTACCTGCAATGCAAGAAATAAAAGAATACCATAAAATGCTCTATTGTCGTTAGGTTGTTTGATTTCGCCTACCTCTAAACGAGATGCATGCATTACAAAACAAATGAGAATGAGACATCTACCAAATAATTTATAGGCATAAAAACAATATTTTGTCTGATCAATTTTTTACTAATACGCGTGCACAAGAAGCAAATTAGGATGAACGAACTACCACATAACTTTAATGACATACTCGTAAAAAATGATGTATACTTGAGAACAAACAAACCCACCAATTTTATTAATGAATTTTTTTCGCGAAGCGGGCGGCGGCATTTTCCAAACAGGCTCATCTTTACTTGGAGGTAAAGAATGAGGCTTTGCTGCCAAGCGTTTCGCGCGTCTACGCCAGTTATATTTTTCCAGATTTGGTACTGTAGCCCACAGTTCTCCTAACCGTTTAGAAATTGCTGCAAAATCTATAAAAAGCAACATTTCACGAATAACATTAGCATTGTTTGCTAATTTGAACAATAATATGAAGAAACACGAGAAGCTTATATACCCATATAAGGACATTGTTCTAGTAGTTCCTGCCTAATTTCTTTAGCCCACAACATGTATGCAGTAAATCTTGTTTTCTGAAAATATTACTGAATTATAAGATAATCCCCTTAGTAACTTTTATTTATACATACCCCTTTGTCTTTTCGTTGTGCCTTCATTCTACCTATTATCTTGCCATCTTTGATAATTAGTTTTTTCTTACATTTCTCAAGCATATATAAACTATTAGCTTGAGAAGGTGTTTCTTGGCCAGGTGGTTCAAGTTTTCTAAATCCTGCTTCTCTATCATCTATCATAAGAGGATCTACATCATCGTCGCTCCCAGAATCCATACTATATCGCTCATCTTCATTTAGCCCAGTGGGATCATCGGATTCTGATCCTGACGACTGTCCTTCATTATCCGACAATGTCTCAGTTTTGATTCTTTGTTGTCCAGAACTAGAACTAGAATTTTTCCTCTGCTGTCCACCGCTTCCATGTTGTATTGACTGACTGGGTGACATATGTTGGGTGTCATATCTGTCCAACAATTGTTGAGTTTGTAATTGCTGAGCTTTTTGGCGTTTATATTTGTTATCCGTAAAATCATCTGGTGACTCAAAGTCAACGAGTTTGGAAGATTTCTTTCTCACACGGCCACTGCGGGAGATACCCGTGACCTCTAGATCTGAAAGATAAAGCGGACTGCACCTTGCCAAGAAAGAGAAAGGGACCAAAATAATTTGTAACGGTTAACTACCACTCTCACACTGAAGGGGTATTCAAGATCAATTTGTAGTTCATTACGCTTCATTCATGTTCTCATATTCATCAAAATAAATCTAGCGTTTCATATAATCGAATGTGATAATCAATTACATCTCGTGGACGCGTATTATGTGTCAGACAAAAAATTCCATGTTCAAATGCAAACACAGAATTTCTTGTATGCATCAAATATGTTAATATACAATAATTTGAAATAAACACGACGTACAGTGTGATTAATTTGAATGCAATTTAATTGAATGACATTTTTTTTAATTACATTATCATCTTATCATAGGAACTTGTTCGTTCAATCAAATTTATCAAATATCAAATATCCTAACCACGAATGGATTGTACACATCGTTAGTTCGACGATTTTCCGCTACGAACAAAAGCGCTAGTAACCAAAACGCAGCTTAGACTAAAATATTGCCAAGGAAATCGACAAATTTACTACGTACGCGCACAAATCATGCGGAATACTGCAAGCGGACACGAGCAATACAAGCAACTGATCTACTAATTATTTTTTCTTATTAAATAAATGCTAATCTCACCGTCACTTTTCTGACGTTTCGGTGTTACGAACATATCCATAGCGTCGCTCTGTTGCTCCGTGATGAGCTTCTTGCGCCGTGGCGTCTTCTCCGATTTCGCGGGCTTACGAATATTGGTTTGCATCACGGAACAGTGAACTTCTTTCTTTCTTCCCAGAACAAGCACATCTGGTAAAATTTTCGCCACTTTTTTTCCACAAACAAACTCTTTCGTTTCCTGGCTAAACTTGTTCCTTTTATTTGTATGACATTTTTAAAAACAACTGCCATGAAGAAAACCAGAATACATCATCGCGCATGTTATACACGCATTCGTTGTGAAACGCGCGAAATTTCAAAATATCAACACTATCTCGATGAACATTTTCTTATTTATACAATAGAATTAAATGGATAATTTAGTAATATGACTAATATATATTGTTAGCATTGATTATGTTTATTTTTTTGTTAAAATTATAAATAGACGATTTAGTCTACAGATCAAAATAGATAAGGTTGCAACATTTGGTGTACAAATTTATTATTTACAATGTTATAAAATTTATTCGAATTATTTAAGTATTGAAAAGTTAAATATCATCTTCCTGTTGCCATCCATCTTCGTTAGATAAAAACCTTCGCTTGTGGGTAGTGTTCATGTAGGGCCTCAGAGCCCATTCAGTATCCGCAGCTGTTTCAGCATCTAAAGTTCCTAATTTAATTTCATATAATTTCAACTGAAATCTGGGTCCAACTTCTGTTAATTCAATATCCTTCCCATTGATTTTCTTATAAGTATGATGTCGGAAAGATACATAATCGTCGTGATTAGCAAAAGTGATTATTCTTTTACTATCTTCCTTTGGTACAGGGAACAAGTATTTTAAAATACTCGTAACTCGATTACCCAACTTTGTTTTGAAGTTGTGAAAAATGAGATGAGGATATTGTTCTGACATTGTCCCAATATTGGGTATATCGTGCCTCATAACAACATCTGACATTGTGAAATATGCCGTAGGTCCGTATGGCAGATGACAAATGATAAGAGAATCAGGTATACCTCTGTGTTCATGAACAATTATAAAATCTGTAACATCATTTGCACGACAGGCATGTATAAGTTGTTTCATTTCATAGTTTCCTCGATTCATTCTTTGAGAATTAGGAAATATTAAACGTAATTCCTTGGCAAACATTTTCAATCTAGAACTTGGATCACGAGACGTTGTAATCACAATTTTTGGATCTTCTACTCCAGCCCATCGATATTCGTCATCTTCGTGAGAGCCTAAAGTTCCTCCCATCTCTGTTCCTATGCTTACAGCTAGTTCTGGACCCGCATCTTCCCATTCTAATTTTCTATGTATCTGCAACGCGTCTTTTCTCAGATCTGGATGTATTGGTACATTTTCTTCCAAACTACGTTTCAGTTTCTCTTTCTTTTCTTGTATGCTTTTTAATTTATCTTGAACTGATTTTCTATAGAGATATTCTCTACGAAGCCGCGCTTGTCTTCGCAACATTTTTGCCTTTCAATACGTATTACTATTTTTACAACAATCTTCTTATTCTGCAACAACGAAAAAATTGTAACAGATAATTATAGGTTATATTAAACAGGCATGTGTCCACAGACCACTGTGTATATGTTTATTACATAGTTACATACCTATATGTTTGATAGTATAAAATTACTAAATTGTTATTAATTCTTACGAATAAAACAGTTATTGAGCAACAAATGAGTTACAACCACAATGTTACACGATTAGTACATACGTGCAGTTTCAATCAAGTGTTTGATTTTTATAAGACTGCAGAATTATATTGAAAACTTGGAACATTAATATAAAAATATATTATTCATAAATTTTAATTATATCCAAACCACCTCAGAGTAGAGAGAAGTAACTGGTTTCAACTCAATAATAATAATCGAAAATATCTTTTAATCAAACATACTTGACGCACTATCTAGCGTCGAAGACAACGAATTATTTCTCGACAAACTTGGGCGTTCTGCCGTAGATGGTACTGCACTTGTTCGTATAGCTGTGCATTTTTTTTATTATAAAAATAAAGTTTGGACTAAGTTTATTAAATAGACCGACGTATATAATCTCAAGTTAATGTATATTACGTTGTAATGAATATTACTCGATGTGCAACTGTGTTCACACATAAAGCAGAGCAACATCGAGCTGATGGCTGTGAATTTAAAATAGTTTCTTCAAAAATATCAGATAAAATTGTTAATAATAACAACTCTATACATAATGTAAGAGAAGAAAGATTTTTCTACGTATGGTAACTTTACCAATTTCAATAGTTTGATTGGCCATAATTTCTGAAAGATTGCTGTAAAACCACTGATATTTTACGAGGTTATATCAGTTTATGTGTCACGAAGTCTCATTAAACAAAAGGTCTATTTTGCACTCTGTTTATGGTGTACCAGATACGTAGCATTTGGAGTATTTAAAATATGGCTTTGTTTTGTACAAATCTGTTTTGTGCTGCCCCCTACCTAGAGCCCAACTAATTAATATTCAGCGATTCGCAATTGTTTCACCGAAGCGCTTAGCAACGGTACAGTGAGTGACAATTTTACACATTTTCCTTATAATTTTTCCAAGTAAATAAAAAACCAAATATTGCCACTGAAACTATAAAGTAGACGACTATTGTAGTGGACAAATGCATTTAGCGGGTTCGAGTCTTGAAAATGTTTCCGAAAATGTTAAAAAATTCTGCAATCTTGAATAACCTTACAGGGGATCGGAAGTATCGAATTGTATCGAGTTGCTTGATATCGATGAGAGACGCAGAATCGAGGAAGCATCAGCGGCGACGAGTACTCGTGCCGTCCACGGCGCCTCGTAATTCATTTAGACGGTAGCCCGACGAGACAGGCTCAATTACACCCGCCGCAAAAAACCGCACGAACGAGCAGCTTCTTCGTACGACGTGAGTGGTCCGTGCGCGGTGTTGCTCTGAAACACGCGTCGTTCTCTTCTTTTAAAGGGGAAAAGAAGCCCCGCAGGCTCGTGTCCTGCGTCACTCAGTCGCGTACCGCGGACATCGTTAAAGACTCTTTGTCATCCGTTTTGCTCGAGTTGCTACCATTAAGGCGGACCCCTCGTACGTGCAAAACGACAGGAATTCCTCCCGTAGATCGTTTTCTAGGCGGTACGGCTGGGTCCTTGGCGTTTTCGAAACGTTTCGTTCGCAACCTTTTTTTCGCCGCCATTTTCGTCGATATGACATATGTATGTACATCGTAATAACAAGATGGCTTCTTCGAGCTTCGAGAAGAGTAATAGCAAAGACAGTATTGTCAACTTGCCATAGGCTGTATTTGAGTAAAATTTCACGGGGGCTCAAAAATTTTATCGATTTTAAACATTATGTGGTTTTTCAGGGCTCTAATATGGAAGAATCGGCGCAACGGTCGACCAGCGAGCTGAAAATTCTTCACCACCGAGTTGAGTACTTTTTGCTTCGAGTATATTAAATGCCAGTGAATGCGTGGCTGTCGTAGCGCGCGTACAAAGAAAATGCAGCCACTGTTCTCTGGCAAGGAAGGATGGGCAGGTTTAATCGGCCGGTTAAGGCGCGAGTCTCGGTCGAAGACAATGGGCCTCGGTGTTGATGGCAATATTTTAATGAAGTTAGCAAGTTCCTGGTAGCGGCTGCCAGTCCGGCGTCGTAGACGCGATTCCAGGAGCATGAACGAGTCGAGCCCTTAAGGGCAGGGGGCGGAGGCGCCACCCAACCACTGATTTCCACTTACCGATATCGTTCAACAAAGCAGCCTTCATGTTCTGGGGCTACCAGGGGCCTCTCTCTTTCGATGCGAGCGAAACGATCCTCGATAAACTCGTGGAAAATCGTCCAGGAGCTCCGCCGCCTCCGCTCCTCATCCTCCGACTACTTTTTAGATCCATTTGCGTGGTGCATTCACTCGATATATACAATGCACATGTTAACATACAGTGGCGTGAATAATTATAAACTCAAGTACTTTTCCTACCATAGTTTCCTTTCTCGATGCCTCCAAGAATTATTGATGGTGAGAACTTGTGCATCGAAGGAAATTTCCGTTATTATTTTTTAACTTGAACTGTTAGTTTATATTTGGTTAACTCAGTTGCCTCGTACTCATATAGAGAGAGATAGTATTATAACAAATGTCTAAAACTATGGAAATTAATGCAGAGTTTATACTAATTGATAATTTAAAAAGCACTGTTTGAAAGAACTTATTTTTCTCAAACTTTTAAACAAGATATATACCACGTGTTTTTTTCTTGTTTCTGTTTATTGCTATAATATAGAAATATGATATTCTGTTTTTATTTAAATACCAGTAAAACTGTAAATGTTACTTTGAGTTTCTAATCATTCACAGCATTGTATGTAAGATGACCACTAATGTTGAGTCATCTGAATGCCAAAGAGGCTATCGAATAATCCAATTTCAGACCAGTCTGGTTCAATTTGAACATCCGCGCGGTCCCTGAATTCAGTTATCACGACATTCAACGAGCTTCCTAATGCTCGTACTTGAAAATAGAGAAGAGACTAACGACGCGTACGAACACAAGCTATCGAAATGACGGACAGGTTTTCGAACAGGACGAAGCATGGCAGAATCGGCAGAGACGATTTAATCAGATTAAACCCTTCGATCATTTCTCGATCATTTGCATATCCGTCCGATAGCGCAGGATGGATCAGCGCCGATGGCAAAGGATCGTGAATGAGACCGATCGTCAGCGATCCACCGTGAGGCGAACGAAATCACGCGGGCAAACAAGTCGCTTTGCATGCGTTCGGATTAATTTGATCGATGCCCCGCGCACAGAGAAGAGTATTATCCGCTAGCGAACGCCCGACGACAGCCATTTTCTGCCCGGATTTCCAAACCCGCGCGCCGGTTTCTCCCCTCGACGAATTAATCGAGGCTCGTTTCTGTTTGTCAAAGTTTACGGGCAACACGGTTCCCGTTGATATTGCAAAATATATTCCGCCCTCCGTGCAAACAGATACCATCTTCGTCTTCTCTTTTTCCGCCGTTCCCCGTCGAATCGCGCATTTTTAACAGCCACGCTCCTCTCACTTTCCGTCGAAGCGAATCTTCGCGTTAACGAGACGCCGGTTTATTAATTAGTCGGTTTATAATTAATGGGAATCAGAAACTGTGAAGATTATTTCGCAAATCGGCGGGATTCACGGCCGCGTCGGGGCCCTACGAGACCGTCCGTCGTGAATTTCAGCGAAATCGAGCCGAAACTTTCGGGATCGCGTGGCGATTTTAATTCTGGCGCGGCGACCACTCGAGTTGACCTTACATCAGGGCCCACGACACTCGGATTTTGACTTTAGAAAGTTACTTTACGTTCGGTAAACATAGAATGTTCTGAAATCCTCCGTTTAAGCTCGGTAATTTAAATTACTCGCGCAAGGGAACCTTACAGTCGTGGAAATTGTTTTTTAACACTAGATTTACGGGCATTGATACCTTTCATGTTGACGATTACCTTACAATACGATTTTTTTTTAATTAGAATATGTATTCATGCCGTTGCATCAATCAAATTCAACATAAGTGGTTAAAAAATAATATTTACGCGTTATGCAATTTTAAATATGGAATCAAACATCCGTCAAATTGACGGCTTCTGTAAATCTAGTGTTAAACGATAGCAGGTGCAAGTTATAGCCTAAGTGCATGTGCCGAGTCTTCGTTTTTGAGATATTTTTAAAATTTATTTTGCAGAACAAGATTTGGTTAAGTCTTTTATTATTTTGAAATGCAAAAATATATATGACATACAGTAGTGAAATAGCATCATATGTCGCATATATTTTTCTATGTTAATAATTCGTATCATCAGTATCGACGCTTCAAACATTTCAAATACAGAATTTACTTGATAATGATTGTGATATAAATACAATGCTATTTTATTACTGTACTTCCTACTGTTTTTTGTATTAAAAATTTGTGGATTGTTTGCTTTAATATTTATATCATATATACATAATAAAAAAAAGAAAAGAAATGTAACTTGGCGGGGATCCGAACCCATTACCAAAAGTAGTAGAGCTAATCGTTCTACCGACTTACGTAACTAAATTTTCTTCTGTAAAGCAAACAATAATTCTCTTATTACATACGCGCCAAACTTTAAACAAGAATATCTCGAAAACGAAGGCCCATTGCGAAGAAACATATTGGGGTATTTTGACACAAGGTATATACTATAATTTACACTTGCTATCTTTTCAATAGCAATTTCCACGATTGTAAGGTCCCCTTGTCAACGTTCTCGAACAGTGCACACGCGTCGGTTGGTTGCGTAACGCGGGAAACGCGTTGATAAACGTCAAAGTGTACCGTTTACCCGAATCGTTGGCGATAGAAAATCCCTGAACGGGGCTCGACACGATCGGAAAGCAAAGCGTTCGGATCAGGGTACAGGCCGTGGAGGCAGCGCGGTATCATTAGGGAGAAATCACATGCAAAACCAAAGACGTTAAGATTGCCCCGTTCGGCCGTAAACTTTCGTAGATTCTAATCGACCGCGCGTAATTAGAGCGGGAGCAATTGTCGGTAATTAATTGGAAGTAAATTAATTAGCTTGGATCGAATAGAAAGTGGAAAATTACAACGTATTCGGTGCAGCTCTGATTCCGAGCGATCTCTGGCTCGTCGTTAATGCCTTTAAACGGTGCCGTTTTCGCTGCCGCGACGAAAACGGTACGTTCCCGCTCTAACGATCCACCCGCGCGATTCATGAACTCGCCGTGTACCCGAGTCCCGAAAGGATGTGTAAAACAAAGTAGAACGCGGGATCGTTTTACGTTTACG